ATTCCCTAGGAGCAATTGAAGCTCCGTGGTTAAGTCCCATAAGTCTGAAATTGTACCTCCGTGAGGAGGATTTTCATTGCAGTTGCGTGTCACCTTGTCCCATGCGACGTGGTGCAGGTTAAAATCCCCCGCCATCAAAGTGATAGGCGGGAGGGAGTCCACGTGTTCGAGCAAGTGAGAGATCACATTGTTCGGCCCGTTATCATTGTACACGTTGAGCACATTGCAGGCGCCCTGTGGTGTACCGAAGGAGACCAGGAGACAGTCACCATGAGGTGCTGATCCGGTAATGATGTGGGGACTAGCCCCGCGCCAGCGGCGATGCACGTATGTGGCAACCCGGGACTTGGAGGACGCGCCAAAGCACGTGAAATTTCGGTGAGCAGTCGTATTCTCATACGAGTCCCCGTCCTTTTTCTTACTGGACGGCACATTTTTGATATGTCCCCAGAAGATCTCTTGTACGCAGATGACGTCGGCGTCTCTGTAGCGCTCAAGGAGCTGAGTCGTATTCTCAGCAGATTTCTGCACATTGGCAGAAACAAATTTGACATTAAAGGCCGGCTCAGGCTCAGCTTCATTGTCAAGGATGTTATCATTCGGTACTGGTGGTGGTACAGGTACGATTACAGGTACTCCGGGAGGCTGTTGAAGCCACCGGTCAAGGAACTCGAGCTGCTCAGCATTGATGGGCTCGTCGTCAAAGTGCGTCGGGGTGGGCCGCCGCTCAACACGTGGAGGGATAGGGTTAGCTGATCCTCCAGCATCAGCATTCACGTTCGGTTGTGATTCCATAAGGCAACGTACTGGTGAGATTACGCAGACGGCCCCGAGGTTTCCCCCTGGGCGTCTGCCATCGCTGCGTCAGCCATTTCGGCTATTCTCGCGTCGGCCTCGCGCATGCGCTGATCGCGCTGCTTGCGCAGGGATGTGATTAGCTTCTGGACTTCCTTCTTCACTCGGTCGTCCTGCTGCCTAGGTGACTCCGCCGCCTCGATCTTACGTGAGACCAAGGCTTTGTCGTTATTGTGCTTCCAGACCGTGCAACTGGTCCGGTTGGCTGGGCCGTGGCCTGCCCGGAGGCAGTTCGGGCAGTAGTGGTGGTCAGAGGGACCATCTTTGTCAGTTTAAGTGCATCTACTTTCATTCATTAATGAATTAAACCCTGGATCTGATTTACACACTTTTGTACCCCTGTTAATCTAATCCTAATTCAATGCAGTCTTAATCCATTGCTCAGCTCATATGCCTAATCCTGGTGTATTACAGAGGTCTTTTGATGCATTCTTAATGCACTACTGATCCACTTATAATGCACTGACTTAAGACATGCTTGATCTCAGTGTATCACAGGGGTACCTTGATACACTATTGATCCACTAAAGATGCATTGTCCAAGTCAGTGTATTACATGTTTAAGGCATACATGTATGCAGTTCTAAGCTGCTGGATTAGTTTTAGATCAAGGCAAAAAAAGGGGACATTGGGGGTTTGAACCACAGACATCAGAAAGCATTACATAATCACATCATCAAGTCGGACCACAGGAACACTAACCACTACACCACAGGTCTGTTAGAAATGTTGTAACACAATGTTATATGTCACATTACTGGGATGCTGGACTTAGACATATTTTGGATGCTGGCACAGGGTGCCCTGCATTAGTGGTGGATCAATAGGTGTGTTAGCAGTGAATTGACACAGTGTGGTAACAGTGAATTAGCAGTGACTTGACACAGTGTGTTGACAGTGGATTAGCAGTGAATTGACAAAGTGTATTAGTGCTAGCCCAACATGTGAATCAGTGATGAATCAACATAGTGCATTAATGTTAGCCAGACAGGTGACTCAATAGTGACTCAACTGACAATGGATGCTAGATGTCAAATTTGTTAGGTCAAAGGTTAAAGTCACTTTTGAGTCACATGTTGGGCTAGCACTAATACACTTTGTCAATTCACTGCTAATCCACTGTCAACACACTGTGTCAAGTCACTGCTAATTCACTGTTACCACACTGTGTCAATTCACTGCTAACACACCTATTGATCCACCACTAATGCAGGGCACCCTGTGCCAGCATCCAAAATATGTCTAAGTCCAGCATCCCAGTAATGTGACATATAACATTGTGTTACAACATTTCTAACAGACCTGTGGTGTAGTGGTTAGTGTTCCTGTGGTCCGACTTGATGATGTGATTATGTAATGCTTTCTGATGTCTGTGGTTCAAACCCCCAATGTCCCCTTTTTTTGCCTTGATCTAAAACTAATCCAGCAGCTTAGAACTGCATACATGTATGCCTTAAACATGTAATACACTGACTTGGACAATGCATCTTTAGTGGATCAATAGTGTATCAAGGTACCCCTGTGATACACTGAGATCAAGCATGTCTTAAGTCAGTGCATTATAAGTGGATCAGTAGTGCATTAAGAATGCATCAAAAGACCTCTGTAATACACCAGGATTAGGCATATGAGCTGAGCAATGGATTAAGACTGCATTGAATTAGGATTAGATTAACAGGGGTACAAAAGTGTGTAAATCAGATCCAGGGTTTAATTCATTAATGAATGAAAGTAGATGCACTTAAACTGACATCACTGGAGGGACAAACCGGAAGGTCATCCGTCCAGAACCGCGCTTCGGTGCAGCACGAGGCCTCCGCCGCGTGCGCTTCCTCGGTGTGATGCTCGCCGCACAGGGGGCAGCAAAGCTTCTGTTGCGTGCATCGGTCACTACCGTGACCCCATCGCCAGCACTTGGTGCAGGGTTTCATCGCGTTGCGCGCGTTGTAGACCTGGACATTATGACGCGTCCCGAAGAGGAGCACGTCTCTGGAAGCCAGCTTGTGGGCAATAGCCCCCATCAGGAAAAAGGAATTTCGGGCATAGCGGCCGCCCTAGGTACGTAGCCAGGATAGGCACTGTCCGTGTCATAGCCACAGGCGCGCACTATACAGTCGTCCATAGCGCATTGTAGACAAGTATAGGTAGTTGATAGTGACCCATAGGAATTCCTCATGGTAGATAGTGAACCATAGCGGCTGTATTTTGGTTTATGCCGTAGTAGTGTTGATATTGGTATCGAAAGAGATGATCATGATCATAGACTCTGTAGTCTGCCCACTCCTTCCTTGAACAACGCCACAAGCAGCGACAGTGATCACTTTAGTGTGAGGATCCAAGTCACAGATAAATAGATTGGTCTTAATACAACAAACATGCGTGTTCTGAGTCACTAGTACTAGCTACAGAACATGTTTGAGTCTCTACCTTCAAGTGCTCCAGTCTCGTCCAGGTATATGTTAGCCAATCATCCTCAACTTCATCCCAGAACTCTGCCACTCCCGGACCATGCGCCACCCGTGTACTGCACTCACAGACGCTCCTGCTCTGTCCAATCCTCCCGCGCATGCTCGAAGCGATCCAAGAATAAGATGGTGTTGCCGGGGTTGAAAATGATGCTGTAGAACAGGACGGACCCTGTCGGCTGGTGGTACGCGCGAGAGATCGGGAGCTTCCTACAGAAGCGCGGCGCATGGATCGCACAGCTCGAGGAGCGCGTGGTGGGCAACTGGGCGGCGCTGAGTAGCGAGGGCGAGCAGGATAGCGATGTCGTGGCCACTGATACGGAGAGGAACGGCCTAGTGTCTCGCCTGGACGGCGTTGGCCGCGCCGGGTCTGCGGTTGAGCTGCACCGGTTGCGCTCAGGACCTCGTCACGGGCATAGCTGATGAGGGCCCGGACAATGTGGAGGGGCCTGCTCGCTAACGATCCATGTGCAGTGCCGAGGGCGACGGCGCGTGTTGCGGGCAACGCGACACTGCGGTGAGGGCTCGGCGGATGCACGCGATGGGCGGACATACGCGATGGGTGGACACGGCGGCGTGATAGGGCAGGGTGGCGTGGCGCGCGGGCAAGCGTTGTGGTGGGCGAGCGTGGCAGGCGACAAAGCGTGGTGGGTCCGCACAACGCACGCGCTCCTGGACCATCCCACGGCGCGAGGGCACGAGGGCGAGGGGGTCAGTAGGCTACATCAATCGAACCCAAACATACACGAGTACTTACGATAAGCTCCACCCAAGAGGACGCACCTTGAAGCTTGAAGCTTGAGCGCTGAGCTCCTGGCCTTTCGAAAGCAAGCGAGCGCGGGTGGACAAGTGCGAAGGAGACAGCAGAGTCGCAGACGCCGGGGAGGGCTCGTGCCGGAACATTCCGAGGCGGGCGCTAGTCTTGACTCAGCGTCGTGCGACGCGCGTTGTGACTTGTCGACGGTCGTCCTTCGTCTCCTCCTCCCAACGCCACCCAGCCCTCGGCCTCATCCTGGTGCTGTCGCACATCACATCTGCCATCACTCCGCCAACGCATCGACAAGCCGAGCGCGCAACAGCTCATGCCCACTGTGCGAAGACAATGGGCATCGCCGGAAGACTGTCCGGTGAGTGCCACGTCAATTCCGTAGTATGCGTTTGCATATCAACACCGGACAATGAATAGACAAATGGCCTGGGCGTCCTGTCGCGATCGCCGACGCGTGAGCGCCTCGGAGCCCGTATGGTCCATTCGGCGCGCAGTGGAGTCACCCGCGCTCGTCGTCCGCACACACCAACAACACCGTCGCCTCCCTTTGCGCACACCGTCGCCCACCATACCGATTCCTAACATAATCTCTTCCAATGTGGAGGCCGATGCGCGGGAGATGTCCGAGGTGAAGCGGCCGACGCGTGTGCGGGTGCACCGTGCATGCTAGTGCACATATGTTAGGTTCGGTGCTCGTCCCTCACTCTTGTTTCTTTCTAAAATTCACGGACACAACAGGCATGCAAGCCCAAGCGCAGTGCATACTAGTGCTAACGTGAGCATGAAGGGTCGAGGGCGAAGGTGAGCATGCATTTCTGCATGTTTTCTACTGACTTCTGTTGGTAGTGCATACCTGTGGACGTGGACCGACGCCCACCTGCTCTGCTTGCGCGCGGAACGCCCATTCTCTCTCTCGCCTGCTCGCACGTCCACTCTATCTCGTCCGCTGCCGCGCCCTTGCGTGCCCATTGTTCCTCGCCCATTCTCCCTCGCGCACGCTCTCACTCGCGTGCCCTTCGCTTGTGTGCCCTTTCAGGCAAACGTACATACTAGCCCTGCCAGTGCATACATACACGGCGGTAGGGCAACGGGTGGGGGACGGGCGAGACAGGGTATATGGACAGCATGGTAGGTGTGGGTGTGGGCGCGGTGAGTCATGACAAGCACCGTGGCTCAGGCTGTTCTTAGTAGTATCATGTCTATATGAGTCTCAATATATCTCTCTGCAATTCTGTTGTGTCTTGCAGCACGAAGGAGTGTTTCGTACTGTCATATTGTCATGATTGCGAGTGCTAGTAGCAGGTACAATGGGTATACACTCAGCTACTGATTATACTTGCATATACCGCCCTATATAAGCCTATAAGTCTATTGTGCTATCATGCTAGTGTCTCTACAGTGTTCTATACTGTCCTATGTCGACCGGCAGTGGCGCTACAGATGGCTATGATCTTAGCCGGCGATCTATGGACGGCTATAAAACAGGGGGTTCGCAATGAGCCTATGCTGACTACACCTACTATATTGTCTAACATAGCGATTGATCTTTTTCCTGATGCCGCTGTGATAGTCCCGGACGAAGCATTTAAGCTGTCCAGTACTGCCTTGCCTCTCAACGGTAGCGCGAGGAGAGTTGGAGAAGGGGACGACGACGTCCAAAAACGCCTTCGTATTCTTGTCGATTTCCGCACACCGGACGAGCTCATGCCAGAACTCTTCCATGGTGACGTCGGCGAGCTTCCTCTGACCCGGGACGGCCCGAGCAGTGACAAGCGTCTTGATACTGACGCACGTGAGCTCGTGGATGTGCTCGACGTTCGCCTGAAAAAGATCCCCCGGGCGCTTTTCAGCGGCGAGGGCGGTAAGGAGCGCAGTCACCTTCTCGCGAAGGACGGCGAACAGCTCATCAGTCGGCCTTTCGGCGAACTTGACGATGACGTCTCGTCCCGAGTTCTTGAGTACAGACGAGGCAGCCTGCATCATCGAACCCGAACTTCGGCAAGCGTCGTTAATGTACGACGTGAGGAGCTCCATCGAACAGTCAATGTCGGTGAAGGTGTGGGGGAAAATCCGCACTAGCACGGAGCACGAGTTCTCGACCGGGTTGCCCTGTTTCACATGGATCGGCGGGGGCTTCTTAGCAGGAGCAGGCGGAACCGGCTTCTTGGAGGAGGGCGTCCCTGTCGCCGGTTGTCCGGGACGAGCGACAAGAGCAGAAGACCCGATGGGCCCAGGAGGAGGCGGAGCGCCAGGGCGGGAGTACCCGGCAGCTTCCAGACCTTTAGAGATCGCGAGCGCGTTCACTAAACCGATGGAGGGAGCTAGTCCTCCGATTGAAGCAGCCTGACCCAGACGGGCCCAGTCCTGCGAAGAGTCGAGGACGATGGCCTGGGACATGGTGTCACCAGACGCAGTCGCCGTCGAGGGGGATTGGCTGCGCGCGCGCTTAGCCTTGGCTGCATCAGCTGCCTGGGCAGCCTTAGCGTCAGAGGGCGTCTGAGGGCGGTCCTTCCGTTTCCGGGGATCCGTCGTCTTCTGCTCGTCGAAGTGGACATGCGGCGGAGAGGGTGCCCTCTCCCGCCCTTTGCCCTTGGAAGAAGCGGTGGCCGCGGCATAGGAAGCCGGACCCGCTGCGATACTGTCGACGCGGCCAGAGACCGCCTTCAACGTCGACCTAAGGCCATCTACCTCACGCTTAAGTTCGTCACTCGTGGCAAGGACTCCCTTGTTTATGAGGTCGTGGTCAGCGTGTACCCTTTCGTACAGCTGGTTGAAGGCATTGGTGAGCGGTTTCCGCCACTCGTCTCGCTTATTAAGCTGCGCGCGAAGCGCAGCGCTTTCCTCTCTCTCCTGGAAGAGAGCTTGGGCGATGGCCTCCGACCCGGGAGGGTATAGGAGCTGGGCAGACGCTGGAGCAATGTCGATCCAGGTCCGGAAAACGTTGGCGAGCTCCTGGGAAGCAAGGTGCCACCAGTTACCCGATTGGTCCGCCCCGTTGGAGACGACGTCGGACACTTGCTTCTTGAACTGGGCTCGGCCCGATTCAAGGAAGGCGTGGATGTTGGCGAGGTTTCTGCGCACGGCCGCGAGCGCTTCGTCCTCATCCCACTTCCACGTGGTTGCTACTTCCGGCCACCTCGCTACAAAGTCGAGGGGCGGGGCGTGGAGTTCGGGGTCCACGGACATGCCGCGGTCTCCGGGGTCCTCCGGCTGCCTCATGGCGTTAGACGCCGGCTGGTCGGGGCAAAGGGCAGGGCTCACCATAGGGGAGGCCCAGCTTCGGGGTATTTCGAGTTCGCGCTCTTCGAGGAGGCTACTCGGTACATACGCTAGACTTGCCGGGGGTGGTGTACCCTCGACAGAGCCATGGCGCGAGAGAGTCCGAGCTCGGGCAGGTGCTGAGACCTTTTCCTCGCTCGGAGATGGGCTATTCGCCTTAGGTTTGGAGTACGGGGTCTTGCGACCGCCGTAGGAGGATCCGGTGGTGCCACCTGCGGCACCACCAGAAACAGTGGTCGAGGCAGGAGCGGCTGGGGTGCTCTCGGGGGATAGGGGAGGGTCATAGTCAAACAGGGAGGGGGAGGGCGAAGGCATGGCGAAGGGCGCCTAAGCGAGATGGTGGTGGTACGAGAACAAGAAGCGGCCGGATGCCCAGGTTGGCGCGACGTATCAGAACGCCAGCCTGAGAACGCCAGCTGTATTCCTTCGTCCCGGAGAAGCTCGACGCTGAGCCATCCCCCTGTAGTCACTCAGAGTGTCTATGATGCGGCACAGACGCACAGCGGGCCTACCTGGGGTTCAGCGAGCTGCCCCTCGCGCCGCGTGAAGGAGTTCCGCTGCCCCCGCGCGAAGGCCGCGGGGACTCGGACGACGGGAGGCCCATGACATTGATAGTCGCACGTACCAGGTTCCTCTCGTCGTCACAGTGCTCGGCTTCGTGTGCAGACAAATGCGGCAAGGCGTTGATGTCTTCGGAAGGCATCAACTGCATCGGATGACGAGAGTCGTTTTTGGTTCGTCACGGCGTAGCCGGATGTCCGTCCACCAGTTTCGTCCTCCTCGCGGTCGAGCTCGCGAGGCTCAATCCTCGCGGAACTCGATACAGACTAGTACCACTCTTGCGTTGTCGGGTCAAAGCCTAATTTTCTTCCCTTATTTTGGCTCTTCGTGAGCTACTACCAGTGTTCTTTAACTGGACATCCGCCACTGGCAGCGGAGCTCTTTTAACGAGCTCGAGCTGGCGATGAGGTGAGTCCTCTCCCTCGCTACGACGATTTGTGAGATGATGACTTGGGTCGTTAGATCTGCCGTCCGCTCATAAACTAGTGTGGGCCTTACATCGTCAACATGTCATCAATGAGAAAGGGGCTACCCAAGGTGAGCGGAACGGAGAAGGAACCAAATATTCTCAACAATCGAGGTTGGCCCTTTACGGTCCCTTCGGCCTATCAAGTAAACTCCCCTGCTTGTTGCCAGCGTGCGAAGGCTTCGGGCTGCGTGTAGTGCTGACAAGGACATCTCATTACCCTTGCAATCGCGATCAAGTGGTGGTCAGAACCTCTATCATCGCTAACCTGTCGTGGGTATATCCGGTATGGTCCTATGACTGTCTCGTTTGGCGAAGCACTATCCAAACTGACAGTTGTTGTCGCGAAGGTGTCACTGATACCGTCGTATATCACGCTCTCCAGACTTACTGTCGTACTGGGATCGGCGGCCTATGTGCCTTCCTATCTCCCCTGCTGTCCTCGGGTCAGGAGATGGGCCCTCGTCTCCCAAGTCATTGCGCATCTACGATCCGCAAACAGATAACTGCTGCATCGGTTCAGAAGTCCAGTGACTAACACGCGGACTGACTCTAAGTAAGTAGTACAGTGATCTATGGGAGGAGCCGCATCAGTCTCGCGTCTGAAATTGTGGATCTTCTGCGGAAGGACACGCAAGAGCAGGTCATGCCCCTACTCTTCCGGTGAGCTGCTATCTATCTTGTCTGGAATATTGATGAATGGGGTTCCTGCCACAGCATGTCCGGAGAGCGGCGCACTTGATGCGACCCGTCGTGGCGTTCTAGGGGCACTGTCAGACTCATGGAAATCCTCCCCGATAGGAGGTACACGTCTAGCCTCTGCTGGAGGTCTCCACCCGCGAACAAGGCCCACTTCGCTCTTAATACGCTTCAGGCTTCAGATAAGGCTAGAGACTGGAGTCGCGAGCGCGGAAGGGAATATACGTGGGACGATGTCTTATTCGGCACCCTCAATGGACCAGCGTCGGCGTTCTGCCCCTGCTCCAATCACTTGAAGTAGACTCGATTGTGCCTCGGCTGAGCCGTCTTCTTGCCAGTATACCGCGAAGCATGCTGTACACATTGGCCGGCACGATATGCGTCCTACTGCTTTTACGTTGGCTGTTCGACCCGGTAAGCCGTGGACCTTCGCAGCGGGACGCATCCTAGATCAAGTCTGACAATCATCTTCGTGCAGCTGAGGCGCATCCCAAGCGTAGGGTCCTCCCTACCTGGGCATGTTCAGGTTCATCTTCCATGCTAAGGACATGTTACAGGAAGGGTACAATAAGGTGCGCGACATACACCGCAGACCGTGCAGGGCTCCGCGGGTTAACTTGAAATGGCAACCTAGTACCCGGTTTTCAGGCTTGCAATGCTCAATCGGTGGGTCGTCGTGGTCAGCGGCGCGAGGATGAACGAGGAGCTGCTGGGCCTTGGGGATGACCGTATGTCGTTTGATGAGGCGCTGCATGAGGTACGCCCCGCGACGTCACGGGTTCCCCAGTGCTCGATTCACTGATTACTCGCGCCGAACACAGTTGGTGGACCCGGAGCTGACCATCTCTTGGGAAGCGTATAAATACCCCATCCACGTCGATGCGATGAAGCAGTGGCTCCCGCGCAACTCTGCACGGCTCTTCCCTGCCATCCTTGAAGAAGTGGAGAGGGCTCTCGAGGAGCTCATCCCGGACTCGGAGACAGGTGCGCATGTCATGCCTATCTGTATTCCTCCAGAGCACAAGGCTGATTGCCTGAAGCAGAGTGGTTGCCTGTCTGTCGCGGAGCTAGGTCTGACGCGACTAGAAACAGAACTGTGAACAGAAACACTTGACCTCAAGGTGTTGGACCGAGGTCAACAACAGTCTAACAGCGTCGAACGCAATGCTAGCAACTCCAAGTTAGTTACATTGCACTCTACTTAGTACAATGTGAAGTGCTTACCTAGCAACTCCAAGAGGACGAGCTGGAGTGCTAGGCAGCGTACAGGACCCTATATATACTGGCTAAGTTGAGGGCAGGTCTACCTACGCTGGATCCGAGAACTGAGGTCATGTGTACGTATGAGTCAGAACGAGTCAGAACGAGTCAGGTGGCTAGGCGCTGCCGCAGGGCACATGATAAGTTACATCAGCAAAGCCACATGATGAACAAGTCACAAGACGAACCCTAGCACGTGATGTGTCACGTGACTAGTCAGAAAGCCGTTCCAGGCGAAGTCTACTGTACAGCGTATCGTACAAGTCCATAGAAAATGAGCAAAAATAGGATAAAACAAAGCAAAAATACGGGGCCTCCGTGTCATACCATGACATTACCCCCCTCCTAAGACTCGTCGTCCCGACGAATCTATCCCAACACGTCGCCCCGTCTCCCATTCCAGGTCTGTGGGCACGACGTCTGTCATATTCTCCGGAGATCGCCATACGATTCCGTCAAAAAGAGCAGCGTTTATCTTGCGAGGTGCATTGGGGTGCTTCCGATGGAACTCCGCTACTTCCTTCTGGGCGTGTTCGAGATTCTTGGCGGGTTCCCAGCTGTTGTCTCCCGCACCGTAGCCCTTCCATTGGACTAGGTACTGAAGCTGGCGTCTGAAGAACCGGGAATCCAAGATGGTCTCGACTTCGTACTCTTCCTCACCATCGATTACTACTGGTTCGGGTGGCTGAGGAAGGAGTCCGTTGACGTCATTACCCTTATAGGGAGATAGTCTATCCACATGGAACACGGGATGCACCTTGAGCGCAGGCGGCAAGTTAAGCACGTAGTCGTCGTTCTCTCGGACTTCGGTTACTTCGTAAGGTCCGAGTTGTCGCGGCCCAAGCTTCTGACTTGCTTGGTGGATCTTGATGTTCTTGGCGGCTAACCAGACTTTGTCGCCAACCTTGAACACCGGGGCTTTGACTTTGCCCTGATCTGCCATCGCGACTTTGCTTAGACGAAGTGCTGCTTCCGCCTCCTTGCGTGCTTCTGCAAGAAGTGCCAATCTTTGGTCGAGCGCAGGAATACTTGTTTTCCTACCCACAGGGACAGTGAAGTCCGGCGTAAACCCATACATGGCTTCAAAGGGAGTCTTTCCCGTAGCCGATGCAACGCGCGAGTTGATTACAAACTCGGCGGTTGGGAGCAGCCGGGACCAGTCGTCTTGGCGTTTATCACAGAAGAGTCGAATGTACTTTTCGACTTCCTGGTTAGCGCGTTCTGTCTGTCCGTTGCTCTGCGGGTGGTAGGCCGTAGTGAGACTCGAGTTGATTCTTAGCCGCTTGTACAGTTCGCGCATTAGCTTAGCGGCGAACTGCGGACCGCGATCCGACACAATCTCGTCGGGGATCCCATGCAGCCGGAATATCTCACGATAATGCAAATCGGAGATACCCGAAGCGTCTACAGTGGAGGTCGTGGGTATGAAGTGCACCTGTTTGCCGTAGAGATCAATGAACGTGGCTATGGCGTCGAATCCGTTGGATAGTGGTAATCCGGTGATCAGATCGACGCCCATCGTAGTCCACGGTCCTCTAGGCACGGGCAGGGGGTGTAGCTGAGCCGGCGGATGAGCTGCTGGCTTGTAGCGCTGACACCTGTCACATCCTGCGACATACTTCTCCACAAACTTGGCCATTCCTGGCCACCAGTAATGGCGGCTGACCAGCTCAAGGGTTCCATTTCTACCGGGATGTCCTGCCGTGGGCGCGTCGTGGCACTGACGTAAGACTTCTGTGCGCAACCCATCGTCGGCGGGGACGTAGACTTTCCCTTTGTAGTAAATGATACCCTTGTCTTCTTCCCATTCGAAGAGTCCGTTCGTCAATCGACGTGGGCCCTGCTCACGGAGCTCGCGTAGCGCGGTAAGCACCTCAGCTTCGCGCTCGCTAGCCTGACGAAGGCGGTCTTCTAGTGGGGATTCTGGCTCGTTGAGGGTAGCAGAAATCTCCGCGAACCGCTCAGGCTTCAACACGATCTGACCCTGGTTATCCTCCGCATCCGTGACTTGGAGCGAAGGGATACGTGACAGGGGATCGGCCTGAGTGTTCGTCTTTCCGGGTTTATGCGTCATCGTGAAGTCGAAGCGTGACAACCATAACGACCAGCGAGCTTGTCTCCGTCCTAAGTTCTGCGAAGTTCGCCAGAACGTTAGGTTTTTATGATCGGAGATGATCTCGAAGGGGGCCGGAAGGCCTTCCAAATAGTGCCTCCAGTCCTCGAGAGCTCTGATGATAGCTAGCATCTCGCGGTCGTAGATCTCATAGTTGCGCTCGGCTTCCGCCATCGACTGTGACCTAAATGCAACCGGGTGCCAGAGATTATCTGCCGTCTTTTGCAGGATAACTCCACCGGTCGCGAACCCGGAAGCATCCACTTCCACGCGCGTAGGACGGTCGGGTTCCCATGTGACTAGAATGGGTTCCGACGTGAATGCGTCCTTAAGCGTTTGGAATGCTTCTTTCTGCTCGGGCCCCCAATGCCAGGATACGTCTTTCTTGGTCAGGTCATTCAGAGGACGTGCTGTCTTAGCGAAGTCCTTGATGAACCGGCGATAGAAGTTGGCGAAGCCCAGGAACCCACGTAGTGCTTTCAGGTTCTGGGGGTCCGGCCAACTCGTGATCGCCTGGACCTTGACTTGGTCCATGCTGACCTTTCCTTCCGAGATTACCAAGCCTAGGTACTCGACGCTCGTCTGCTCGAATTCGCATTTCTCGGGTCGCAGGAACAAGTCGTGTTCCTGTAGCCGGCGGAGAACTTCGCGTACTACTTTGCGATGTTCGTCCAAGTCCGTACTGTATATTAGGATGTCGTCTAGATATACAGCTACTTTTCCGGCGGCGATGAGATCGACGAAGATGGAATTCATGAGCGTTTGGAATGTCGCTGGGGAATTGGTGAGGCCGAAGAACATGACGTTCGGCTCGAACAGTCCGCGGTTGGTTACAAACGCCGCTTTCCATTCGTCACCCTCTTTGATACGGATATTGTTGTATCCCCAGCGGACGTCGAATTTCGTAAAGTACTTGGCTTGGCGTAGCCGATTGACTATGTCGGTAGCAAGCGGGAGCGGGTATCGGTTCTTGATCGTGACATCGTTTAGCTTACGATAATCTTGAACCATCCGGAGCTTGCCGTCCTTCTTTTTGACGAAGAAGACAGGCGAAGCGATCGGTGACTTGGAAGGCACAATGTAGCCTTTCCGGAGGTTCTCTTCTAAGAACTTGTCTAGTTCCGCTTGCTCGTTTACCGGCATTGGATACACTTTCGACCGTAGCGTCTCAGGTGCGTCTGGCTTTAGGTCGATCGTGTGATCCCACGGCTTGTGCTCGGGAAGACGTTCCGAGTCTGCCTCCGAGAAGACTTTGGCGAAGTCTCGATAGTGCTCCGGCACCATCTCCTCGAAGGTCTTCTTGGACTTCTGCTGATTGGCTTGGGCTGCCAGCGTGGTTGAGTACGTTACACCTGCGCAGCACCAGAGCTCATCGGCCAAGTCGTCTATAACTCCGCGCTTCTTCCATTCGCGCCGGAGTTTCCTCGTCCCGGCGATCTTCTGAAAGGGGAGATCATCGTTCTCAGATGAAACCGGCTCCTGCGGTTCCTCGTCGAACGTGACCGTACCCTCCTTCCAGTTGATGCTAGGATTCACTTCCCTCAGCCACGGGATACCCAGTATCATATCTTCCTTGTTCAGATTCGTAACTAAAAAATCGCACACCTCATCAAAGCTACCTACTTGTAATCTAAGACGAGCGTAGTGAGTGATGCTACCAGCTTTGTTCTTACTGCCATCGATGTTATACAAAACGATCGGATGTTTCATAGGAACGGTAGTTACATGATTTTCTAATACAAAACGAGAAGAAATGAACAATCCCGTAGCGCCTGAGTCAATCATGGCAGCTACTTGCTTTTCTCGACGTTTTCCGGAGACCGATACATCAATACGTAAATGCACATCTCGAAGCTCTGATTCTGGTATAGTACAACTAGCTATGCGAATAGAACCGAAGAAACGCCAATACCTGTCCCACGACCACGACGCCGCTGCCACGGTAGCGTGTGGTCGATCTAAAAAGCCTTTTTGAGGGCTTCGATCTGCGCTGCGAGCTCAGCCTGCTGCTTGAGCATCGCGTTCACCACGTCGGTCATCTGCGAGGTGGCCGCTACTGTCTTCTCCTCGCTTGTCGACGAGGAAGTTTCCGGAGAGAAGATCTCATCCACTTCCTTGTCCGTAGAGGATGTCGAAGACGTCGCAGCTGCCGTTGCCTTCTTTGGCAACCCGAGGAACCGTCTTTGGCATACCGGGGTCTTGTGCCCAGTTCCACCGCACCAGTCGCAGATGTCGCGCTCGTGACCACCGTCTCGCTTGACGTGATCCTTGGAGCCGCAACCGAAGCAACGACCGCCCATGACCTTGAGGAAGTCCGCCCGGGTCTTCCCGTTACCGCCTTTCGGCGCCTGCAGCGTTGCGTCGATGTCCATCGCGTTCGGATCCTTGCTGATCACGAACGGAGCCGCTGTTGTCCTGACCGGGGTGCTCGTCGACGAGGTACTCGACGTTTTACCAGCCTCGCGGGCCTTCTCGGCACGGCGTTGACGCAGCCGTGTGTCGAAGTCCGCAGCGACCAACATGAGTTCATCGAGCGTTTTGGTAGAGCGCTCGGTCGTCGGGAGGAGGTCCTTGATGTCGTTGCTGAGATGCTCGTAGAAGCGATCTCGAAGGTCACCGTCCGAGTAACCGGTCCGTTCCATGACCTCACGGAAACGCGCAGCGTATTCCGGAACTGAGAGCTTGCCCTGATACAGCTCACGAAGGGCCTTCTTCGCGTCCGCTGATTCGTCCTGGGTCTCGAACCGCAGCTTGAATGCCGTGACAAAGGCATCCCAGTTCGTGAACGCAGGCTTCTCAGCCACCATTGCCTCGATGTAGGGCGTAGCCCAGACCGCCGCTTCATCTGTCAGGAACGACAGAGCCGATCGTACCCAGCGCTGATCATCACGCTGCCACAAATTACCGACGCGCGTGTTGAGCTTGCTGCCCATCTCCTGCGCGTAGAGGGAGAAGGCAGCCACAAAGCGTCTGGCATCCGGGCTGGACTTGCCGGAGTAGGTAGCCGGGCGCTGAACCGTGCTTTTGTTGTCGGAGGGCCGACCCGAATTAGTGGCGAGAGCAGCGACCTGCGTGGTCAGCTGCCCGAGCGTTGTCTGCGTCTGCTGCAGGCCTTGGGCGAGACCTTGGATCATCTCCAAGATCTGGGCGCCGGTCATTGCGTTTGCCATGTCGTCGACGTCGACTGGCGGGGGAGGTGCTTCTGTTTGGGGAGGTGCGGGCGCTGTTTCTTGCGCCGGAGGGATATGAGTGTGAGAGGATTCAGCTACTTCTTCGCTGAGGTCCGATTCTTCTTCGAGGTTTGCGTTCTCGGGAGTGCACTCCACGTATCGGGTACTGCGTCGATAGGTGTTGGTATACCTGTTCGGGCAGGGGTGGGTTTTGCACGCAAATAGTTTGCCGGCGACATCAGAACTTGTCCGAATTCGGTGAAGGGCTGTGACGGGCTGTAAAATGCTAATTTTAGACAATGTCAGCGTGTCACTCGTCAGCAAAAGAGTTCGAATTTTACAAACGTTGGCCAAATGCAGCTTCGCGTCGTTAGAGAGCGTCACCGCTCACAACAGTGTAACAGGTCAGTCCGTCACTTGTCAGCAGCTCGTCACTTGTCAGCAGCTCGTCACGACGCAGCAGAATGGTTAGATACTACGTTCAATTGCATGGGGTATGTAGTACATAGGTAGCCTGTACGAGATCAAATAGCCCATGGTGCACTGTCTGTACTCTATCCCTGAGAACTCCACCGTCTTCCTGTCGCATCAACCTGCCGTATCGTCGAGCTTCGCGCCTTGCGCCGTGCATGGGCGCATCGTCGATCGACAACGACTCACATGTCATCATCGAATCCCTCGGCGTCGTCGTATTGCGCATATTCGTATTCGGCCTCGCCGTCATACTCTTCCTCCTCTTGCTGCCCCTCGCCGTCATACTCAACTTCGTCATCTGCCTGCTCGTCCCAATCGTCATCGCACGCCGCCCTCGGATCATCGGTGGCCCTCTCCGTTCCGCTGTCCGCGTTGTATCCGCCATTCTCCCCCTGGGATTCGTCATTTCCAGCGAAGTCGTCCTCTTCTGGCTCCGAGTCGTCACGCGCTGCCGGAGCAGGCTCAAAGAGTGAGACGGCTTCATTCTTGGGATTGCGATGCATCTTGTGGTGTGTTCCTCGCTTCTTCCCTCGGCCGGTCTGCATGGCTTCCGTGGCAGCGGCCAAGATGTGATCGAATGCGTCGGGCCGAGAGATAAACCCGGCGATGTTCGTACGCCACGTACTTTCGATGAGCGGTTTCATGGTTTTCCCCGACCAGTCGGGCATCCCCGCGTCGACTCCGTTCTCCCATGACCCGAATGCACGCTGTACCTGTGTCGTTACCATTTTATGTGAGCTGGATTGATCAAGACGTTGCAATCACTCACGGCAGCGAATGTGAGTGCAAGAGCTGCATATGGCCGTCCGCAGCTCGAAGCAACGGAGCCCTCAATGCTCTTGAGGTGCATCGCAAGAGTTTCCAGGACGAATCGAGAGTGGCCAGGCTGGGGTGCGTATGCTCAGCGGTGACGATAATAATAGTACTGCTTATGTACGAAGTAACTTACCTGCCCATCCGGCGTATCAAAGTAAGCAGCACCTCTGTGCCGGAGCGCCTCCGCAACGTAGCGTTTGCGCGCGCCATTGTTTGGCAAGCTCCGCAGAACAGGATCAACGAGTTTCTTCGCTGTGATAATGAAGAGCTTTCTCCAATGGAACAGGCGGGAACGGGTCTGTGAAGATTCAGTGAGCATGACCAAAACACGGGCCACGACGACGCTGACGCACCACTTCATAGACCAAATCCTTAGAGCTAGCGACTACGTCATAGTTGGCATCCGGACGCAACTCATCAATGAGCTCCTGTATCTCGTTGCGCAAGACAAGAGCACCATGCTCTATATCCCACAGCTTCGTCGCCGCCCCGTACTTCTCCTTGAGCGTAGGCAGCACTGTCTCGTCCCAGATCTCGCGGAGGGAATCGGGGAGGTTTTCCGCAGACTTTGACTTGTCCAGCGGAATCGAAGATGGAGAGCGACGGGTGCGAGACTTCTGCTTTCCTGATGGTACGTCCTCAGATTCAATCACAACCATCTATTGTCTATGATGAGCAATAGAGCGGTTGAGAACACAGATCACGGCGCACCTGCTGCGTCTTTGGCAATCCTACCACCTCGTCTCTACGCGACTCCACATCCTTATCCGTCAAACCCTTCTCCTGCACCGCGTTCTGCCGGCTTGCGCGTCCACCCTTCTTTGATTGCGGTTTCGTAGTAGGCGTGCGACTTGCACTTGGAGGTGCACTGCGGTTTGTGTTACCCGCGGTGCTACTTGCTTTCTTGGGCTTGCCTGCTGACGATTGCTCGCCCTCCGCAGTCTTCTGGCTGGCGCCCGATCTTGGCGTCTTCGTTTTGCTCGTGCTTGACGTTGCAAGTCCGGCAACCTTGTCACGCCAGTTGGCGTCCAGCCCACCAGTGGTGCCGCTGACCTTCCTTGGTGAGCTCTGTCGTGGCGGCGGAGCCCTGGGATTCAAGCAGTGATGTCAACAGTAAGTCATCAGAGTCATATCTAGGAAAGGGATTCTCTTACACAGGCCGTTTCGCCACTGGAGATTGGGAGGAGGGCGCAGAGGACGATGTCCGGTGAGTATTGATACTGTCGAGTACTGATGCTGCTCGCTCATTTCTCTTCTCACGCGGTGTCTTCCTTGGTGCCTGAGGCGGCACATGCTACATCCAAGACAGGTAAGTCAAGGATGACTCATGGGCCGCTGCGCTCAGTACGAATGCAACTCACATCCGTCATCTCAACATCACCATCGCCATCGATGAGATATTCGACATCTGACTCGTTGTCCTGCCCGGCTCCGAGTCGCCCATCGACGACCTCCTCGGGCTCCTTCTCTGCAGCAACCTCATCTGCGTCTTCCTGCGCACTGCGGTCGAAAAGGGCTGCAATCTTTGTCGCACCACTCTCCTCCTGCGAGGCTCGCGTACGTGCTATCGCCTCATACTCCTCATCTTGAGCACGCTTTGCTGCACGCTTCCTCTCGCTCTCCTCTGTGATCTCTTCTCGTGTCCGCTTTCGGAGCCCTGCTGCAATGCCAGGGCGATGATTTTTGCCGGCACGGTCCGGACGACGATCCGGGCGTACTTCAAGAGGGCTGTCAAGAGTAGCCTGTGGTTCGTCAACTTTTCAAGATGAGACGGCCCGAGTCAGCGACAAGCCGGGTGAGTGTAATAGACTCTAACAAACCTGCATTCAGTGTTGACGGCCCAGTAGTATCATCATCGATAGAAGCTGCGGTTTCCAGAGTCACTGGAGGCTGATCGCTAGTCGTAAGTTCCTCTATGTTGTCGTCTGGCTGCCTACTTTGCTGACTGGTCCTTAGGCTGCGGCGAGGTGTCATAGCAGCATCATCATGTCCACCATCTGCAAGCTCTTGCCCACTGGCAGTACCACGGCCTCGGCCTCGGCCACGTCCACGTCCACGTCCACGTCCACGGCCACGGACACTGGCAGGCCCTTGAACAGGAGTACCACGTCCACGACCACGGCCTCGGCCGCGTCCACGTTCGGGTTCGGGCATAGCAGAGCGGAAGGCAGCGTGCAGAAGACAGAACACGGTGGATATGCCAGCTGGTGCTGGTGGTAGAGGCAAGGACAGGCCGTGTGACGCCGGAGTTGAGACTTAGGCGAATGGGCCTTTCTGTGTCACATAATCCCTCACGTCGGCTACTGTAACAATCCCTTCAGAACGCCCCTTTATTCTCCCACAGTCCATTGTCTGCTGAAACGCTTTTTCCACGTCGCACGACAAGAGGCACCACTTCTCAATCCATTCCTCTGTTGAGTATCTCGGCTGGATCATGGCTTTCCAATGTACAATCTGCTCGAAAACGTTTCCTACTCGCCGCAGGTACTGTACACATGCACGTGAACACAAGCATCCGCAAGTCGTCGCTCCAAGATCAAGACTGTACTACCATCCACGAATCAATGGTATGTCGGCGGCAAGTGGTCATATATTAGTTTGCTACACAGCTGACATGCTTCCAGGTCGACCATGCAACATACTTGGTGCTTTCCTGCCGAAAGGAGCTCCTCCGCCCCCTCGCGAACCTTTGGACGGCTTTGCGCCGTTCCAGGACCGCCCGTCATTCGAGTTTGCTGAGCTAATCTTTGAAAAGATGCTCTGCTCGAGGGACGACGTTGACCAGCTGCTGCGCATCTGGTCGGCCAAGAACCTCGTCGACAATACTGGAACAGAGCCAGTGTTTGATGCCCACCAGGACATGCTCAACACCATCGACGCGATACCGTGGGGCGATGCACCATGGTATTCATTCAGGATACGCTGGAACGGCCCTATCACACCGACTTCCCCAGCTTGGAAACGCGCCGAGTACGTTGTTCACGCGCAGAATCCATTGCAGGTGTTTGAGAACATGCTCGACGATGGCGAGTTCGCAAACAAGTTCCACCCTTCCGCCTACCAGGAGTTCACAACTATTGGTGGGCGACGTTACTCCCACTTCATGTCCGGTCAATGGGCCTGGAAAGAATCGGTATGTGGTGTTGTCTTTGTGCCTCCTTCCGTGCCTGTTCCCTGATCTTTCCTGACGTCTTATTTGCAGGATAAAATTGCCGCCGACCCATCGACACACGGATCAATGCTTGCAACCGTGATCTCCGGAGCTGATAAGACCACTGTGTCTGTTGCCACGGGCAATCAAGAGTTCCATCCAGTCTATGCGTCACTCGGCGTCTTCCATAGCGATGTACGGCGCGGTCATCAGAACGCCGTGCTACCGATTGCGTTCTTGGCCATTCCCAAAGGTACGTTATCTACACGCAGTGCGACTACCTCTGTTTCATGAGACACGACTGATCACTCGCCAGGCTCAAGTGAGGACGAGAACGACCCGGATTTCCGCATCTTCAAGAAGCAGATCTACCATGCTGCACTCGCTCACATATTTGACCCCTTGAAGCCACACATGACGACACCACGCATCACTCGCTGCCCCGACGGCCACTACCGCAAAGTTATCTACTCGCTTGGACCGTTCATGGCCGACTATCCGGAGCAAGTATATCTGTCCGGCGTCGTCCAGGGATGCTGTCCGAAGTGAGTTATGTGCAATGGCCTGCGCTGCATAGAACTGACACTTCAAACCAGATGCTTTGCACCGACAGACTCGCTCGAAGCAGGGCAGCGACGATCTCGCGAGGTCATGCAGACCATCAAGGCGACGTATTCCCACGATGCAGCCGTTCTATGGGACGCGTTTGGAATTGCTCCCGGCGTAATTGTATGTCTATGAGTCCTCATGATTGCTCGAGTACGGTTGTTCTCACAAGCAGAATTAGCCTTACACAGATCACTTTCCACGTGCTGACATCTATGAAGCTCTGTCGCCAGATCTTCTGCATCAAGTCATCAAAGGTACATTCAAAGACCACCTGGTTGAATGGGTCCTCGTGTACATCAAGACGCATCACTCGGCGCACGATGCGAATGCTATCATAGCAGATCTAGACCGCCGGTACGGATGCATATCATTGGTTGTTCTTGCGACATATGCTCATGCTGTATGTCACGTAGGCTTCGATCCGTCCCCGCATTTCCTGGTCTTCGCCGCTTCAAAGAAGGGCGGAACTTCAAACAGTGGACTGGAGACGATTCAAAGGCCCTGATGAAGGTAAGTGTCGTGGTATCATTGTTTCTGAAGCTAACACCGTCTTCTGTGCGCAGATATTCATTCCAGCGATCACAGGCCTAGTCCCTGACCGCGTTGTGCAATGTGTATCTGCATTTCTCGACTTCTGCTACATCGCACGCCGATCATCGCACAACAACGAGTCTCTGCAGGAGATGGAGGACAAGCTAGCCGAGTTTCATGAGCTACGGACTGTCTTCCGGGATGAGGACGTACGGGATGGGTTTGCGTTACCGCGCCAGCATGCACTGGCACATCTGGTGCGCGGTATTCGTCTTTATGGGTCGCCAAATGGACTCTGCACGTCAATCACTGAGTCGAAGCACATCCGAGCCGTCAAACGGCCATGGCGCGCTACGAATAAGAATAACCCATTGATTCAGATCCTCAAGATCAATTCACGGCTCAACAAGCTGGCGGCCGCCCGTTCGGTTTTTGGCAGCCACGGGATGCTTCGTTATGACGTCCTGACTGCTGCACGGCGTGATGCTGAACCGGAGCTCTTCGAGGACGACTTGCCTGATGCGGACATGGATGGCGGCGACCGTAACCGTGATGCTGAGCGCGAGGAACTCAATGCCGAAAACGAACACTTCCAAGACATTGATGGAGTAGACGGCGACCCCGAGCCGGTCTCTGTTGTTCTGGCAAAGACACCTGGTGCGTGTGGATGTCCTGGCGAAAGGAGCCCCTTGCTGATACAGACAATGGCTTATGTAGTCTGCTCGCGTTCAATCGCACGATTGGACCTACCGCAGCGTATCAAAGGCCTGCTTCCGGATCTCATTCGCCGCCTCCTGTATGATCAGCTGAACCCCGCCGAGGACTACGATTCCGAATCAGAAGCAGAAGAGGTCGACATCAACGACTGTCCCCCGTTCCACGGCCACGTCGCTCTCTATCACAGTGCGCGCGCGTTCTACTATGCACCCAGTGAACTCTGCGGTCCGGGCGGCATGCACAGCGAGATGATTCGCAGCCATCCTAACTGGTACGGCACAGGTGAACGGCGGGATACCGTTCTTGTTCAGGACGGATCAGATGAAGGTGTCATGGGAGGGATGCTCATTGGGCGAGTGCTTGCTTTCCTCTCGTTTTCCCATAACGCAGTCACTTATCCGTGTGCTTTGGTCGAGTGGTTTTTTCCTGTCGGTGACGCGCCTGATCCCATTACGGGTATGTGGGTTGTAGAACCTAAACTAATTGATGGAGAACGCGACGTTGGACTAGTTCACACCGACTGTATTGTTCGAGCATGCCATCTAGCACCTGTTTATGGACCAGCTCCTTTGCCCATTGATTTCGACTTTTCGTACGCACACGTAGCTTTTGATTCTTTCTACTACAGCAAGCATGTAGATTACCATACACATGAATGTTACCCACTAACATAGTGATTACTCGTCACTGTAACACGTAACACAATGGTCAGCAAAGCGTTCGAATTCTCCACAATCTCTGTGACACGTTAACAATGTGACGGTTCCGTAGTGCGCTGACGGTATCTAATGAATTTCCGTTAGCATCGGTCAGCGCGTAACCGATCGTTAGAACGCGTCAGCAAAATCCGACTTCTACTGATGGAGGGTTACGTATGTATCCTCGTTGTCTTGGACGTCGTAAACGTGCCGAAGACCGTCGCAATCCAGGGTGTCAGAAATATTGGACAACCTGCTTCCTTTGGAGACGCCGTAGGCCTAACCCCCGTATCACGTCTCTTTGGGATTAAGGCTATCTAACACTTCTATGTGAGGGACCCCAAGGACCCTTATCCTATCACAGGATTCTTAGAGCACAAGCGTACGTACTCAACAGAAATCCGCTGGCTGCTTTATGCCTGTTACGGTATAGCCCGCAGGTTCCAGGAACCGCTTTGACAGCTCACGCAACGTAGCTAAGCTGACTGCCTTGGATACGCTCAGTCTCCTCGACCTATTGCGCCTGTCTGCCTACAGAAACACGAGTTCTGTGGCGCTAGCCTTGGCTTCCGATTGCCGCTTTTCACAGCCTCCCAAGGTCTAGAAGACCAAGACTTCCACGTAAATCTACACCCGACCTATAGCCTATGGTAGGGCCGTGTCCAGATGCAGGGCTCAGGGATGTAACCCAAGCGCTTACGTTTCCGTGTGACTATGCGCGTGCGCACGGGGTACCAACGCTAGGAGTTCTGTACTATGCTAAGGGTTTAGGTGACGACGCGGCCAACTGCGGCGTGTCAGGTAAGAAGATGTAGGAGCTCGTCCTAATGTCGCGGAGCTAGGTCTGACGCGACTAGAAACAGAACTGTGAACAGAAACACTTGACCTCAAGGTGTTGGACCGAGGTCAACAACAGTCTAACAGCGTCGAACGCAATGCTAGCAACTCCAAGTTAGTTACATTGCACTCTACTTAGTACAATGTGAAGTGCTTACCTAGCAACTCCAAGAGGACGAGCTGGAGTGCTAGGCAGCGTACAGGACCCTATATATACTGGCTAAGTTGAGGGCAGGTCTACCTACGCTGGATCCGAGAACTGAGGTCATGTGTACGTATGAGTCAGAACGAGTCAGAACGAGTCAGGTGGCTAGGCGCTGCCGCAGGGCACATGATAAGTTACATCAGCAAAGCCACATGATGAACAAGTCACAAGACGAACCCTAGCACGTGATGTGTCACGTGACTAGTCAGAAAGCCGTTCCAGGCGAAGTCTACTGTACAGCGTATCGTACAAGTCCATAGAAAATGAGCAAAAATAGGATAAAACAAAGCAAAAATACGGGGCCTCCGTGTCATACCATGACACTGTCCATGCATATCCTACGGTCACGAAGATTGTAGCGCGGGCGAGCAATCGATTATTTGTCGGTGCTCCTCTCTGTGAGTGAACTATCGAGGAAGCTTGCACTACGATAATTGACTCTACTGCTGGAAGGCCGCAACACTGAGTATCTGGATATCATGCGCGTGCACGCTGCCAATGTCGACAAGGCCGCTACCATCCTCACGCTCTGTCCGAAGTACCTGAAGCCGTAAGAGATGCTGTCACATAAGGAGACGCATGGGAGTACGCTGACTTGACTCAAGCCTCGTCGCAAGCCTGTTCCCTTGGCAGCGACAGGCCACAAACCGGCTTCGTCCCTTTCTGAAGCCGATCCTGGACGAGCGAACATCCCTGCTCGAAGAACCCAATGATGCGTCTACGGATAAGCCCGTACGTAGATTCATGCCCGGGATGCACACAAAGCTGATGTGGTTTCGTGGACTACCGGCAGGTGGATCTGCTGATGTGGATGATGGAAGAAGCACGCCGACTCTGCCACCCGAATCAAGAAGACCTCCTCATCCATGCTGTGCTCGCAGCCAATTTTGCCGCGATCCACACCACGAGCGTTGTGCGTGGACCGCCTCCTTTTCTCAAAATTGCTGACTCGGTTTCTGATATAGACGTTCACGCACGCGCTGTACCACCTCGCTGCGAAACCAGCGTACGCAGGTCCGCTACGCGAAGAGATTGAACGCGTCGTGAGTGAAGATGGGTGGACAAGGGCGGCCCTGGGACGGATGTGGAGGCTGGAAAGCTTCCTTAAGGAGTCGCAATGAATGAACGGGGTGGTCCTCAGTGAGTTCTGTCCAGCGACCTGCGTGCCCCCTTCTATTCCGCACTCGACGCTGAGCTCGTGCTCATTGCCAGTGGCCCCCATCCGATACACCCTACAAGACGTGCTGCTTTCAAACGGGACGCTGCTCCCGGAAGGTACACTCGTGACTGCCGTGATGAGGTCCACCCATCTCGATGAAGCGAACTTCCCGGACGCCGCGACGTTCGACCCTACGCGCTTCTCGAGCATGGGCGGAGAGGGCAGCAAGAACAGGCGGCACTACGTGGGCACGTCCCCGACGGACATCGGGTTCGGCCATGGGAGGCATGCGTGGTGCGTTGTTCGTCGCTTGATTCGCTCGGTGTATCCGCCGAGACTGATGAACGAGGGTGCGTAGCCCGGGACGCTTCTTCGCGGCGGACGAGTTGAAGATTATGCTTGCGTGCGTCGTGATGCGGTATGACGTGAAGTTCCGGGAAGAGGGCAAGAGGCCAGATAATGAGTGGTTCGCGTATGTATGCTACCCTGCGCAGGACGCTCAGGTGTTGTTCAGGAAGCGACGTGTGGCATAGTGCTGGCCGAACGACGAGAGGTAGTAGTTAGTGCGATTATCATGATATTCAGAGATTGTGTCAAGTGGTTTGGCAGATTTGAAGTACTGTATGCGACGAGTGCAGTCGGGACGCATACAATGAACGTGGGCTTGTCAAGATCTACCTCCATCGGGAGCTGCGGGTTCAGCCCGTCCTTCCTACGTGTCGGGTAGACGAATCACAACGCCCGCCAGACATGTACGTCTTGTTCGTAAACTGACATCGCTTGTACAGTCCTTTTATGATTGTGTCTCTACTAATGCTAAGTGGAAAAAAAGCGTGGCGTGCGCCGCGTGAGACGAGGCTGCAGAAACATGGTGAACAGCAGTATGTATGCCAGCAGCTCGCGTGCACTCACAGGACTCCACACATTGATACCGGCGACGTTTGGTGACCAAGACCGTGACAGTTATCCTGACGTGTCCGGCATATGTTCAGGTTGATCAGGTCCTCGCTGTGCCTCTCCTCCAGTCTTGGTCTTCCGACGTTGTGTCTCTGTATGAATCCTGCGCATGGCACGTCGCCAGTCGGGTAGTTCTTCTGTGTCATGTGCAGTGCTAAGGGGGGACTCAACTCATCTCTGCCACTTTCAAACAAACTGATGTACTACGTACGTCAATATGCCCCGTCTATTGCACCCCAGCATCTTCCGTATAATGAGCTCGTCCCACTGATTGCACCGCTCCCGGAATGCTGATTCTGTACAGAATAGCGTCCCATACGAAAGCCAACTAGCTTGACCAAAGCCGAGGCATACACCACCCGGTGCGATGTTGGCAAAGCACTCTGTCTGCAGCATGTCGTCCAATCGTACCAAGATATTGTCTTGCTCCATCATTGTCAGTGCCCGATCCACGTCACCAACTGCGTGATCTGAACGAATGTAAAACAAAACAGACATGGCCGTGAAATGCTTGGAAGTGATCCGGGAGATGATATGAGGAATCCAGGACCAACCAACGAAGGGGTGGTACAGGAGGATTTCCAATTGCCGCAACCTTTCATGGCGTGACAGGTTGTAGTGTCGTTCTACTGACATTTATGATCAGTCACTGGGCAACCCAAAAGTAAAAATGCATGACTTGCCTACAGTGGCGTCAATAGTACTGTCACTCACGGAAAGGTTAGGAGCGATCAAGGATCTGAGGACTTCTACCGAAGCGGCACTTGCATCCAGCAAAGTCTGGCTTCTGCTGCCCATCGAGACTATGTTCACTTCGCCATAGACCCCGAATGTGAGATAGCGCACTCGGGAGGCCTCCTGGATGATGATTCGTACGAGGAAGGCGTCAACTGCGGGTGCAACCCATAGCACGTTGATACTCTCCAGCCTGAGATTTGCAGAGTTCAGCGGGGGAGAGACAAGAGAGGCAGGGTATTTCTGTGAGCAGGCAACACCGGACAACCATAGATGTGTCAGTCCAGGGAGTGCTGAGATGAGGTGGGCCAGCTGGGCGATGCTCGGCGCGACGATATTAGTGATCTCTAAGTGGCGGACGAGGTTGAATGTGGCGAGATATCCAAAACCTTCCATCCACATTGAGCCAACGGTCCATTGTGCATCTTTAATGACGATTCTTTGCAACGCCGGGAGCTTCCCGGCAAGCATGGCGGTAAACGATTGAAGGTGCTGAACCATAGATCGCTGCCCAGATGCATGACCCGAGATGACGACCTGTTGGACGACACTGCGGAGGCGTGGTCTGTCGCGGAGTGTCCTGAAAAGTGTACGGACGTCGTCCCGGTCACGGAGGTGAACGCGCTGGCGGAGATGGTACCACGTGTGATAGTACCAGTCCCTGCATACCAGTGCGCACGATCGAAGAGCTAATAGGTGTGGATTCCCACTGTCCAGTCGATAGGCGATATCCAGGCCCGCAGCTACATGGTCGATGATGCGTCCGCAGATCTCGGTGGGCAACCGCGGAGCTGGAGCATCCTGAGGTGATCCTCCGGGGGCGGTCGTCCCACTAGTACATGTCCATCAGCAAACGTGCAAGTTCCTTAGCCGACTTAAACGGCGCTTACGTCGCTTTGTGTCTTACGTTCTCTTAAGTTCTGTCTTAGCAATTTGCTTGAGCCCCTTACGACGCTTGACAAGCTTGATCGACGCGAGCCCTCCCAGCCACAAAATAGGCGATTCTATCTAAGCGCTACCAAGAGTTTGTAAGGAACTTCAACGGAACAAGGATGTAAGTAGAATCAAGGGCAGCGGTAAAATTCTGTACTGAATCCATTGATATGTACTGCGTGGCAGACGAACATAGCCTGCCAGAGCACAGTCACGGTGCAACTATCTACCATATGATACATGAATACGTGTGACATGTACCATACAAATGCGCCGCGACGATCGTCTCACCCGGTGCGTGTGCGACGTGCAGACGCAGTGGACCGGATGTGGGCCTGCGTGCTTCGGGAACAAGGGCGCAGCGGGCGCGCTGTTCTGCGTGGCAGGGAAGGACGGCGGCGTGGGCGAGGTGTATACATACGTTGGTCGTTTGCCCGTGCGTGTACAGTCTGCGGATGGATTGGACAGGTTAATGTTCACACATTTGATGGCAAATATACGTACGTACCCCGCGTCCCATCCCCTTCCTGGCGAGACATTCCAGCACACCATCACCGCGCCGTTCGCGGGACGTCGATACATTACATCCAGTGAGGGTTAGTGTCCGACTCGGCATCCGTCGCGGCTCGACGACTGATGCGTGCACGAACGCTGAGCTCTCAGCTCGTCACGCGTCACGTCGCAAGTCTCCCCCTTACGCATGCCCCGCTCGCCGGATGTCGACCGTGTCCTTGCCTGTTGCGCCAAATGGCACACCTCAGCGGATCGCATTGCGTCCGACGCCCAGCTCGCCGGGCGTAGATCTGTCGTGTCTTCGCACAAAGTTGACCTTCTTGCCACCGCGCACTGGCAGAGTGCTCGTTCAATAGCACGGCGCGAGACGAGCTCGCGCTACGTGTCCAGGACTCCAGGGCTGTGATCTCGCCATCTCCGGTCAGCCTGCCGAAGTAGTTGATACTTAGCCTAGTATCCCGAGAGTTGAGCCTATTGTGGGTGTCAGTACTTCAGTGTAAGAGTGGCTTGGGAAAGCAAGTGCAAAGTTCGAAGTTCAGACGCGCAGCCGTGGCGGGCGATGCGTCCAGTGTTTGGTGATGTTTGCAGGATTTGCCACGTCACCGAACTCGGTATTAACTTCACACAGGTTGAACCAGTGCCACGGTGACTTCCGAGTCTGTCGCCTCCCCTCGTCTGTTGAATCCGGGCATACTTGCTACGGCACATTGCCTCTCGAACATCCCTCTTTGGCCGGCCTCAAGGGGCACACGCGATACAGACACATCCCCGTCGTCCAGCGGCCAGCCGGCACGCTCAAACACCGCAGCCACGACAAGCTCCAGCAACGTGGGGAGATCGTTGCTGGAGCTAACGGACGGCTAGAGGAGCAGCGTGGGCGCGAGGGTACGAGGGTGTGGCAGTATGGCCACCAACAAGGTGAGTGCCCACGTTGTCGGCCACAGGATGCCAGCCCCACCGTCTGCGAGCCGGCCCACGCCTTCCACAAGCCGCTCCCCATCATCTACAAGCCCGGTCATCCTGCGCACTGGCCCGTCGCGCCCGAAAACACTGAGCATGAATGAGGCATACATGAGGCCCCTCGCGAGCCCGACAGACTGCAGCCCACCACTCTCACTCTCCACAAGCCCCGCCCGCCATTCACGAGTCCGGGAACATCGGCGACCGCGCACGAACCCCCTGCACACCAATGCGCCAAGTACGCAAACGCTAAGCACAAGCCCTCTGCGAGCGAGCCCTGGCCCGCCGTCTGTCAACCGCGCTCGCGCTTGGTGAGCTACCCCCACTGTTCGCTAGCAGCAGCCCGATGTACGGTACACCGACGCGGCACGCAGGAGTCCGCCGATGAATAGCAGCACACCCTTCATGCGCTCTGTCTCACCGTTGGTGAGTTGGCCGCGCGGTTCAGCAGGCCCCGCCCGCCGAGTATGGGTCCGCCGTCCGTCAGCCTCGCTGCCATCTGAGCGCCGCCGATTCACGCCGCGTTACTGCACTTCCTCACCGACCTCCGCCACTCCCTCTGCCTGCCCGCTCATCTGCGTGCCGACCCGCGGACGTGCCCGCGGACCCGCCAACCCGTGTCAACCCGCCTGTGACCCGTACCCGCAACGGCGGGTCTGTACCCGGGCGGGTATGGGTACGGGTCGAGTCAGATACACCCATGGGTCATAAGTCATGTACTGTACATTCGTAGCATCGCCGTGTCGGATCTCATTTGCGTACAGTACATTTGTTACATCGCCAGGATTGGTTTCCGCATTGTCCGTAGCATGCTCTATCCCAATCTCAATAATACTTGATGAATGCTTGAATATCATGAGTGCCAGCTTGTTTCCCTTACACGATGTCTTAGGGCTGCTTTTCGCGCTTAAAGCCCAGCTTAAACCATCCTTACTAAGGGTGTCAAGGGCTGGCACCTTAATCAAGAGAATGGATCTTCTTGATTAAGCACCGTTCCTTGAAGTCCTTATCCACTTAAAGTGCTTGGTAAGGCCTTTAAGCACGGAATAAGGAACTTGCACTTTTGCTGATGTCTCGTATCAGCATCTCTCGTGCACCGCCTGGATTCGACACTCACTTCGAGGCACCTTCTTTCATTTCGATGGAGTTGATCATACACCCGAATCGTCAGTGCGACTTTGTCGGGAGACCTTGCAAGGACAACGAGTTCGCCGCGCAAGGAGGAGTCGACGGACGTGGAGGAGCCCTACGCACAGCTGATCCTGAGCCTGAGACGACGTCCGTTCAAACGCAAGTTGTTCAAGCATACCTGATCGACTGTAATCCCGGTGATTTGACGCCAACGACACGAGCCTTCTGGCAGCTCGTCAGCAGCGCGAGGCAATCGTGACCTCCGATGTCTAGCGAGGCTACCGGCACGTTTCTGGGAGGTAGATTAGCACTACTGAAACATCGACCACACAGTGGTACAAAGTCGCACCGGTAACGTTCGCGATAAACCTTCGTTGCGCTAGAAAGCAGCAACGGCCGGGGGACAGAAGGGAATGGGCGGATCTAGTAGAGGGTAGCAGGTGAGATGATGGTAGATATCGTACATCAGGAAAGTGACTTTCGCGTCTAACTTGCCTAATTCAGGCATTTAGGCACTTAGGCCAGTTAGATCGAGTGTCTAGGTTAAGTAGATCCGTTTCTGAAGTTAGAGACTTGTTAGACGGTTAGTTGTGGGGCCAGGAGGCCAGTAGACGTACCGGAGCTCGATTCAATCACTCAGGCAATCAGGTACCAGCTAAGAATGTATTGCATTCAATCAGTCTACAAATACAAAGTACGGTACTTGTCACTACTGTGCTAAGGAGCCTCGAGAGCACGTTTGCGAGCTCCAGGAAGAGCGCCACCGTCCGCGTCGCACTCGTTGAATGGGTGAGCCAAAGCTTGCCGGCACGCGGCTCGTTCGCATACTTCGACCACGGACGCACTTGGCTCGGATCGTACACGACAAGGTCAAGGTGCACGTCCGCAGTCGTCTTTACTATCACATTGATGCCCCACTGCTTTGTGTGAGAACCACGATAGCTCAAGATGGTTGTGGGACACTCACTACTTGGCGAGTACACCATATGCGCCGTACAATGACGTCGGTGCGTCGAGTGCGCGAAGAACGTCTGACACCGACGCGGAGAAGTTGCGCGACGTGTCCAGCAGCAGTCTACAGACCACAGTACATCTGTCATCATGTCAGCTAATGGCGACTACCTAGGACAAGGTGACGTACATGAGTAGGTTTGTCCTCAATGCCCAGGGGTGTGTTGACCGCGCGGACTGTCCCCGGGTACTCGTACCATAGCTCAGACTGTCCGAACAAGGTCAGGCCGCGGTACAGACCGAGAGTCAACATTGCTGTGATGTTCTTCGGCCCTCTCCTCCGTCGTGATTGTGTTCACCTTCGAGAAGCTCCACGAGGTACGCCGCCGTCTGGAACATGCTGACATCGCTTGCGCCGCGGTCTACAACGAAGCGGTTAAGACTATGAATGAGATCGAGCAGGCAAGGTCGTAATGCAGGGTGCGAGGGGATGTGGGAGCTAGGAAAAAGTGACTGGACACTCAAGCCACTCGAGCAACTTGAAGTGGCCAGAGCGCCCGGACCTGAGATGCGATCGCGAGAAGCGAGGCTGCGACAATGGGAGCGATCCATTGCGCAACCTCGCTGGGCTGCCGACATTGAGTATGAGTGCTGAGGCCTGACTCAATGGCGTCGAGGATGGGTCGCCCGCCGTTGTGAGGGAGAAGTGCCAGCGACGCAGGCCGTACGCACCATCACGGTGTGACTCAAAGCGGAGTTACAATTCGCTTTAGGGCAGACATGCGGCGGCCTTGCGCAGGTTTGCGCAACGCGCAACTGCGCCGCATCTCAACCTACATGTAACATCAGTAACATAGTCTCAACAAAGATGTAAGTAGCTTCCTCCGAATCATCGCAGCCGTGGGCACACTCACCGCTCACATCATCAGGATCTGTACCTCATCCGTGCTCGCTCCGAGGCTGTGCAACGACGTCTTCCGTAGTGCTACCCTCGGAGTCAACCCCGTCGAGAAGGTCCTCCGTGACTCCAAGGTCGACAAAAGCCAAAACACGCGGTCGTACTCGTCAGCAGTTCAACACGTATCCCGCCGCGCGGCCCAGAACTTGCACAACGCGCGTGCAAGCCCGCCGCCGAGTAACATGGCCCCGCGACGGTTATGAAGAGCGCGGGGCAAGGAGGAGACACCCAGAACGCGAGGAACGCGCGGCAAGGAAGATACAAGGAGACCACGAAGAGGAACGGGGGGGAAGAGCATGTTGAACGAGCACAAGGGCTCAACACTCAAAGGTACGCCCTCGCCGGATGCAGCTATCTTGCTATCCCCCTGTGTATCGGCCAACGAAAACGTTCGCCGCGTGCGGATTGCGCGGACATGCCCCGGAATGACCTAAAGGTCATGCGCTGTCCAACGTGCGGCGAGGCAACGGACATGCGTCGCTGCATGCCCGGTGTCCCCACCTCTTCCTGCCTCTGCACCAATGAGTCACGAACGCGTAGCTTGCAGTGCGCTCTGCACGAACACGCTCCGGGACGACCTAATGGTCGTAATTGCTATGCTCACCTGTTCGCTCACTCACCCGCCTGTTTGCAGTCTCTGGCTTGTTCATATAGGCATGTTTGCCCGCTGGTCCAGCCGACCGTTCATCCGCCCGACTATGTACTAGGCACACCCGCTTGTCCGCCCGCCTGGTCGACCGGTCGCCCGTCCTGACCCGCGTGAACATGTAGATCTCTCGTCAGAAATGTTTGAAGCCGGAACATGATTCACATCGTGCAATAGCATGGTATTCACCGCGCCGTGCTGTTTGTAATGATCCGTTACCGTAGTGTGTTGTATTAGTGTAATACACATGAATGGCTGCTCTACTGAAGGTATTAAGCCGGCTGCACAGGCCGAAACTCGTTAGGAAGTGAGATGAATTAGGCACGAGTTAGGTGGGTTAGACAGGTTAGGGCAAGTTAGATGCCGTGACGCTTTCCTGATGTAGTGAGTAGCGCTTATCGGAACATGTAGAAGCATCGCATACACATGCACGAACTTCACTCGGAGTTCTCTCCTATCGCTCCAGGTGGTCACCGCAGCCCGTGTGACAGTAAGCACCGGAGAACAAGCTCCTGAGTGCTGAGCCTCAGCCCACGACTGGACGGTAAGACAGCCCCAGTGACGCAAAGCTATGGTTGAGCCGTCTGGTCAGTAACATCCGGCCGTCGGCGAACACAGCTAGGACCATAAGAACTCGGATACGGAAGACTGGTGTCCTTGGGAGCAGTGCAAGTCGTGCTGTCGGGCGCGCGAAGAGATGGCTGAACCGTCGATAATCACGAAGTCCCGTCTGAACACATGGTTCCGATACGGCGGTCTGTGTACCAGCAGACCATATCAGTATCAGGCTGCGCAGTTCTGAGTGGACGACGAGAACAGAGATGTCAATGTCACATCGAGTCCATCCGGGTCGTTCACGTCCGACATGCACACGTTTCATTGAGGTACAGAACACTTACGGGCGAGTCGTCGTCCAATACATAACGCGCGATCGTATACAAACAGCTACTTCGAGCCTGCCTTTTCATTGACGGGAGATCGAAGCTTAGTAGGCGGTGATGTCCTCGCGCTTGTTCAGCAGCCTACCCTCCATACCGCCTTCCACCATGAGGACTTGGCCGGATACGTGTCCGGACACTGCGGTCGACGCCACGAAGACAACCTGAGACGCGACGTCCTCTGGCGTAGCGACTTTCTTGAGCGGCGTGCTAGGGACAGTCGGTTAGATACGTGATTATCGGCAGTACAATCGAGGACGGCTTACGTCGCCAGCGCGTGGTAGATGATATCAGGCTGCTTCAGGGCATGCTCGGCCATGGGGGTCTTGACCCACCCTAGGGTTCGTAAGAACGCTGCTCGGGTGAGGTGTAGATCCTTTACTCACCCGGAGCGATGCAGTTCACTCGCCCGCGTGGGGCGATTTTGACGATCTCATTCTTCAGCGACATGGTGAAGCCGTACATCATTCCTGTGTCGTCATAGTCAGTAATCCGCACCGCTAAAAGAATTCACCGACAGTACAGACCACTTTTGGTCGCGGAGTAGTCGGCATGGCCAATCTCGCCATATTTGCCCGCAGTGCTGCCTATCATGACGATGGACGCCTTCTCCTTCTGCTCCGTGGTGGCCCCTGCCAGTTGCTTGAGGTACTCTCTGACGACGAGGAAGGTAGATGTCATGTTAGACGCGAAGGTCGACTCCCACTGCGCGAGGGACATTTCCGCGACAGGCACATCTGCCGGCGGGTAGTACCCATGGTTCGCGATCAGCACCTGCACTGGACCAAATGGGCACCCCTTGAGTGCATCGAACATGCGCAGCACGTCTTCCTCCTTGCTGAGGTTCGCTTGCGCCGACTGCACACGGGAAGGTCCGAATTCGGCGAGGAGAGGCTCGAGGGTTGACGATGTGGAGTTATAGTGAGTAGTGACATTTGCTCCGCATTCTATCCCAAATTAGATGTGTGGCATAGCCATGCGCAGGCGGTCGAGCGAGACATTGAGTCAGTCCGCTATGCAGACTATACCAGTAAAAATATGGGACTGACTGAGGAAGAGGCGTGCCGTCACCAGGCCTATACCACCGCTAGCACCTGTTCCGGTTGTTATGATGAGGTCCTTTGAAACATCACTGGGAAATGCGTTGGTTATGCTGACCTGTTACGAGGACATGGACGCCGTTGAGCTGCAGGTCCATTGTTAACAACTTTGTGCAAGATTCAAAGCTCCCGATGGATCTGTATAGTAGTCGGCGTCTATCATAAGCTGTACAGTGTACTTGTAAGTGCCAACACTCACTCGCTGGGCACCGACTTCGTCGTTGTTGCCGTCGTCTCTGTTGTCTGAGCTCGTCGTCTTCTCGTTGGATCTTACTGACGCGAGCGCCCTCTGGTGAAGGTCAACGATAAGGAAGGCCGCGGATCTAGGCACTCTGTGATTCGAACGGACCTGCGGCAGGCCGCAATACAAGCTTTGGATCCCACGGAGTATGGGAGCCTTTCTGAGCCGGAGAGGTAGCCTGCTGGCGAGCTTGGGATGACTGGAATCCAACTGTTCAGTGCACAACGGCGTCGAGCAATGGAGATCGCATCAGAGCGCCGTATTTGAAAGCTCACCAGCTAGACAAGCTTCGACAACCTCGTCGCGAAGGCGCTGCCGTGCGCTGGAGTTATCGGCGAAGTTGTGGAGATTGCGCTCTGGCATGTTCGAGGACGTGTCCATCCCGCCCATCGTGAGTGTTCTTCGAATAACGTTGCGGGCGGTCTGCTCGTCAGCTCACTTCGCGGCTCGTGAGACGCTGTTCTCGTGAAACTTAATTCAGACTACTCCTGCGTTGTCGGATTGAGGTGTATCTCTTTTGTCGTGCTCTTCACGAGCACTCTCGGGTTGTCACGGTGTCGGCTCGCAGCAGCCTACGTATGCTGCAAGTATGCTGCGCGGAAAAATGTGCTTTGGTGCGCGTCCAAAGGCGGATGCGTGCTCCCACTTGTCTGTCAGCAGCGACGAGACGCCATCACAATGGCCAGCGGCTTAGACATCTCGAAAAATGCTTCGCAGATTCTTCCTGGAATTGTGTTTATGGCTCCCATCGCATACAGGTATGCTCTGATCTATGGCTGTCTCGAGCACACGACAAGATGTGCACCATTCACAAGTCCCTGTATCGTCATGGTGAGCTGCACGCTATCCTAGATTGCACTCTGTTAGCTTAAATATGAACATTCATCACCAGACAAACCTCCCAGCAGGGATACTCCGCCCGTTCACCCTCCGCTCCTCGGAGAACATCGCATTTAACGGAGATGAAGTTGTCTTAAGTGACAAATCACGGCATTACACCAGGATTGCAGGAACTCGCGACCCCACTCTCTTGGCAGCACACCGGACCCTGGCTCTAGCTTCTGTTATTACCGGCGGCGACCGGATTCATGCAATCAGCGCCAGCGAGGACATCGTAGCATTTGTGATAGTATGTATCAGTCCACTAGTCTGTCTTAAAAGAGATCCAAAACGTGCGTACGATGCTGACCCCTGAATCTGAGATACACACTCCACCGTATATAGGACGTCCGCAAGCTCCTCCGCACCTTCGAGGCGGTTCCTCCTGTTCGCCCACGACAGGGGCCCGTCCTCCCCCCGACAGCGCAAAGGCCGCGAGGCTCACGCCGCACAGGACGCCTCCCGCGTTCTCCTTCGTGAGCGGGCTAAGGTCTGAGCGCCCCCTCGATCGGCCCCAGCAGGGTCCCAGCCTCACAGGCGGGCGCGGCGTACCAGAAACACAGCTGCATTCCTTATCCCGGAGAAGCCGTAGCACGGCCCACCGAGACAATTCAGCTGGTCTCGGCGTGTCCGCCTGTGGGCGAGGTCCGTCTTGGTTCTGATATGGCTTGGTCGCGTGAAGGTGGAGGGACCATGGGATGTGGCTTTGGAAGACGTCGCGGGGACAGGGCGGACACTGCGTTCGTACGCGCCGACTCCGTCTCGTCGTTGCAGCGCTCGGCTTCGGCTGGGGCGCATATGTGGCGGGGGATCCTGGCATATTGCAACGACGGGAGTGGTCTATGGTTTCAGTGCGTGTGGCGGTGTCTGCCCCTCAGTTCACTTCGCGGCTCGCGAGGCACCAGCTGCTCTCGCGAAACTCGATTCAGACTATTCTTGCGCTGTCGGATCGATGCCTAATTTTTTCCTCACCTTGCTCTTCGTGAGCACTTTCAAGCTGTGCTGACGTCGGTCGCCGGGAGCACCATATGTATGCAACAGTTGTACGCCCCTACGTTGACACGTTGACCTCCCTGCGCCGGCTTTGTGTCGAACCGCGAACGACTAAGTTATGTCGCTGCAGACCATGTAGCCCGGAACGCTGGCCCACGGCGCGCGGTAGTACTTCAGGGTGAGATTAGCCTTCGAATACGTAGCCACCCGGGATTCAGTTGCGGAGATCGACTCGTGGACAAGGCAAAGACCGCAGCTCAACGTGACATTTCGCAGTGGACTATGGAGACTCGAAGGTGGTAGGTAGTGGGATGGCGGGACCAGCCAGTAAGTACAACACTTACCAGACTGAGCGAGCGGTGTTTGACCGGCGTGGATTCCTCCTCCTCCTCAGCGTGACTTGTACGCGGCGCGACGCGTTCCAGCGCTAAGCGCTAAGGCCTAAGGAGTCCGTCGGTCCTCCGACTCGTCGTCTTCGAATTTTGCGATACGCAGTCTTGCTTGCCTCTGCGACGCGACCGGAGAACCAAGTCTGTCAGCTATACACCATGCAGACCGAACAGCAAGCCTCGTTGAGCGGTAGCTGCCACTGTGGCGCGCTAACCTATACCACTAGGTCCCAACCAGTCTTCACAGGCTATTGTCACTGTGCGAAATGTCAGCGGCTCACAGGTCTGTAGCTCCTGGTACGGGTGCCACAGACGTTATACTCATAGGCTGCAGGCGGCCCATTTGTACCGACCCTTCACTTCCCTCTGGACGCCGTCACTTTCTCTGCTAGCTCAGATTCCGCGCGGCACACGTATGCGCCCGCATCACATCCACACGAGATACGACACAGATGCGACATTTGCGGCGTCGGAGTAGGGTCTGTCAACGAGAGGCAGGGGCGTACCGCTGTGTGGGGCGGAACCTTGGCGCGGATACCGGTCGCCGGTGAAGAGAGCGCGGGGAGGATAGCGCAGTGGGAGAAGATAAGCCCAGTTTTGCATTGCTACTACGGAGCGCGGATGCTGGACGTCAGGGACGGTCTGAGGAAGTACCGCGAAGGTGCAACAGAGGAGGCGGGCTCGCCCGGCTCGTGGGCTGTGCGCGGCGGAGACATGGATGAGATGGACGACCGTGCAAATGAGGTGGATCTAGACGAGTTGGACGGAGAGCAGCTGCGGGGAGGTTGCTTTTGCGGGAAAGTAACCTACGCGTTCTCTGCGCATCACGTCGTCCGAACGGCGTACTGTCACTGTACGCAGTGCCAGAGGCTCACCGGTGAGTGTTGCTCGAGCGCGTTGCTCTGCGTTGCCCTTTGCTGGACACGTCCGAGGCATATACTGATGTCTTGGTCCAGGCTGCCCGTTTATCCATACGATCCACCTGCCCTCTACTGCCGTCTCTCTCAGCATACCGTCATCGGGAACGGCCGCTCAGCCATCCGAACTCGCCGCCTCTGCCATAGACATCAAGTCTCCGCCGGGCGCACTTCGTGCATACAGCACCGCGGTCAAGCCGCACAAGACTCGCCTGCGATGTTCTACATGCGGGACGTGCGTTGCATCAATCAACAGTCGGACGGGTACAACATCTGTGTGGGGTGAGTTGTTGATTCCGTCTGACGTCGTGCCTCGAACTTGAATGCTCCGAGTCCCAGCTTGTCTTCTCGCGAGGTACTTTGGCTGATCGGCGCACTTGTCCTAGGTGTTCACCTTGCGCGTTTGCCTGCGGGGCAAATCTACCATTGGGACAAGGTATATACAGCATACACAACGGCCGGGATAACTGATGTGGATCGCTACTAGGTTCAGCCCACTGCGCATATATTCTATGGCACGCATCTGCTCGCAATCAACGATGGACTCGGGAAATGGTCAGGATATGAGCACAGCAGTGATAGATTGGATGAATAGAAGCTAGCGGTAAGTCTGGATCCCATACCAACTACCCACGAGGTCGACATGCAAACCGACAGTTCCCGCTGGTTGGTTAGGCACATGCGTCGCTGTAAACGTAGCCCCATCCTCACGCCCAACTCAGCTTCTGACTGGAGGTATGCTAGGTGATATGCCCTCCATTTTGTCGGCGACGCTTACCCGACGTCATGGGTTCGGGGAGATACCCGAGCCTCCCGGGCATAAACTACACAACGATCAGCAACTGCGAGGCCGTCCGTGGCACGCCGACATTGTCTTGCAAAGACTTCGAGAACGCCTGCGAGGAACACCGTATGATCAGCGCAAGCGGAGCACTCGCGCCGCAGAGTGCGCAGCCCGGGACGTTTCCTCGCAGCGGACGAGCTGAAGATTATGCTTGCGTGCGTCGTGATGCGGTATGACGTGAAGTTCCGGGAAGAGGGCAAGAGGCCGGAGAATGAGTGGTTCGCGTATTACTACTATTATACGCATATCCGGTGAATTCGTTGACGTCTGTTTGGCATCTCCCACATGCACATCCGCCGTCTTCGCCTTTCCCTTTATGTTCGACATTTGACTCATCTGATGACCTTCCCTTTCAAGGATAGGTTCATCACGGTCAGCCTCATGATTTGCTTTAGCTGCTTGCTAGGAACCTAGTACTCCTCCTCGAGCTCCGCATTAGGGGCCCGGGCAGCTGTTTAGATTGTCGCCCCTACGTGTGCGCAAACACCGACTATCGTAACCTCCGTCACCTACGGTTTTCTCATACTCGTTCAAGCAACCTCTGAGCCAGCTTCAAGCCAGCCATACCGGCCACGCGGAGCGAAGCGAAGCAATCCCTTGTGTATGCTACCCTGCGCAGGACGCTCAGGTGTTGTTCAGGAAGCGACGTGTGGCATAGTGCTGGCCGAACGAGGAGTGGTAGTAGTTAGTGCGAATATCTTGATATTGAGAGATTGTGTCAAGCGATCTGGCAGATGTGGAGTACTGTATGATACAAGTGTAGTTGGGGCTCATACGATGAATTACGTGGGCTTGTCAAGATTTACCTCCATCGGGAGCTGCGGGATCAGCCCGTCCTTCGTGGTGTCGGGTAGACGAGTTACGACGCCCGCCAGCCGTGTACCGCTGTACGTCTCGTACGTAGGCTGTCATCCATTGTGCAGTCCTTTTATAAGTGTGTTTCTCCTGATGCTCGGAGCAAATACGTGGTGAACAGCAGTATGTATAATTGCTCGTTTGCACTCACAGGACTCCATACATTGATACCGGCGACGGTAAACGACCAAGACAGTCATCCTGACGTGTCCGTCGTGTGTTCAGGCTGATCCTCTCCGAGTTGCTGCGCGCCTCCTGCAGTCTTGGTCTTCGGAGATCGTATCTTTGTCTGAATTCTGTGCATGGCACGCTGCCAGTCGGAGCGCTCTTCTGCACCATGTGCAGTGCTAAGGGGGGACTCAGCTTATCTGCTTTCGTACAAACCTTGTACTACGTACGTCAATATTCCCCGTCCATTGCACCCCACCAGCTTCCGTATCATGAGCTCGTCCCACTGATTACACCGCTCCCGGAATGATGTTCCTTCACCAAACAGCTTCTGATACGAGAGCCAGCCATCGTGATCAAAGCCTAGGCATACGCCACCCGGTGCGATGTTGGCAAAGCACTCTGTCTGCAGCGTGTCGTCCAATTGCACCAAGATATTGTCTTCCTCCATCATTGTCAGTACCCGATCCACGTCGTCAGCTGCGTGATCTGCACGAATGCAAAACATGACAGACATGGCCATGAGATGCTTCGAAGTGATCCGAGAGATGATATGAGAAATCCAGGACAAGCCGAAGGGGTGATACAGGTTGATTTCCAATCGCCACAGGCTTTCATGGCGCGACAGGTTATAGTGTCGTTCTACTGACGTTCATGATCAATCAGGCAACCCAAGAGTAAACATGTATGACTCGCCTACAGCGGCGTCAACAGTACTGCCACTCGCGGAAAGGTTAGGACTGATCCAGAGTTGGAGGTCTTCTACCGAAGCGGCACCTGCATCCAGCAAAGTCTGGCTTCTGCTGCCCATCGAGACTATGTTCACCTCGCTGGCCACCCCGAATTCGAGACAGCGCACTCGGGAGGCCTCCTGGATGATTCGTACGAGGAACTCCTCAATCGCGGGTGCAACCCATCGCACGTCAATACTGTCCAAATTTGCAGAGTTCAGCGGGAGAGAAACAAGAGAGGCTGGGTGTTTCTGCAGTGAGCAGTTAACAACAAGGAGCCGTAGAAAGCTCAGTCCAGGGAGTGCTGAGATGAGGTGGGCCAGGTGGGCGATGCTCGGCACAGTGACGTTGATGATCTCTAAGTGGCGGACGAGGTTGAATGTGGCGAGATATCCAAAGCCTTCCATCCTCATCGAGCCAACGGTCCATTCTGCATCTTTGATGGTGATTGTTTGCAACGCCAGGAGCTTCCCGGCAAGCATAGCGGTAAACAATCCGAGGTGCTGAACCATTGATTGCTGCCTAGATGCACGACCCGAGATAATGACCTGTTGGACGACATCGCGGAGGCGTGGTCTGTCGCGGAGCGTCCTGGAAAGTGAACGGACGTTGTCCCGGTCACGGAGGTGAACGCGCTGACGGAGATGGTACCACGTGTGATAGTACCAGTCCCTGCATACCAGTGCGCACGATCGAAGAGCTAATAGGTGTGGATTCCCATCCAGTAGATAGGCGATATCCAGGCCCGCAGCTACATGGTCGATGATGCGTCCGCAGATCTCGGTGGGCAACCGCGGAGCTGGAGCATCCTGAGGTGATCCTCCGGCAGCAGTCATCCCACTACATGTCCCGTATCAGCATGTCTCATGCACCGCCTCAACTTGACACTCACGTCAGGGCATCTTCTTTCATTTCGGTACAGTTGATGATACACTCGATCCGTCAGTGCGACTTCGTCCGAAGACGTGGCAAGCACAACGAGCCTCAGTTCGCCGCGTAAGGAGGAGCCCACGGACGTGGAGGAGCCCTACCGACGGCTGATCCAGTGAGACCAGAGGTCTTCGTTGCCGGTCACTTGCGCCAGAAAGCGGCAGCAGTCGGGGGATAGAAGGGAATGGGCGGATCTAGTAATAGCTACTAGTATGTAGCATTTTCGGAGCCTGAAAAACCTGGTTTGCCTGCGGTGACGTCTCGTTCCCACGCTTACATCCCTGACAGTAGACAGATAGTGGTAAGAACTTCTCTTTCAATGACTATCATTTCATCGTAACATCGACATTCGTGCACCCCTCACAAACCCCTCAAAGTCTCCATCACTGGAAGTGTCTCCGACGCTGGCCATGCTGCCTGTAGAGCTCATCCGTGAGATCATCTTCCGTTATGTCGACGATGCTACGCCCGAGAAGCCAACCGACCTGGTCCACCCCTCGCCTTCTTCGCGCAATCAGTGGTTCGACGTTAAACCAAAGGCGTATTGGGATTCCGTCTCTTCGCTTAGCCTGGTGTCGAGGGTCTTTCGTGATATCACTTTGGAGGCGTGGTTTCAAACCTTTGTAGTGCGTAGACCTAAAGTACATCTGACGGGTTTGTCAACCATACCAGGAGTGTCGCAATGGACAAGGTACGGGCCACATCATAATATGCAGGACACGCAGCTCATTTGCGTAGGGTAGTGCACTGGATCAATCCAACTAGTTTTTCGGAAGGGTTGTCGCTCGGGCACTTCTCTTTTAAGCGGAGTCTCATGGCGTTCGTCCGTTTACGCAAGTTGCGAATCGCCGCGTTTCCCTCTAATCACTCCATCATCCTCCTGGAGATGTTCGAGGAGCTCCCGCCCACTGTGGTCGAGCTAGAGCTGCGGTACCATGCGTGGCCGAGTCCGCAGCAGCTCGTTCCTACAGCGACACTTCTGCCAAATCTACGTGTCCTAGAGATGCATCAAGAACGCGCGTGGTGCAGCCTTTGCAATACGTGCAATGTATTGCGTCTCAGGGACGATCCAGTCACCATCACTTATACCAATGGTGACGGCCTCCCTGTGCGTGCATCCGCCTCTGTTCGTTCCACGCCGACATCGCCGCTCACCTTGTTTATCCCGCAGAAACTGTACAACCGCTACCTGGCACCTTTATTACATCTGCGCACGGTGCGCTTGAGTGCTGCGTACACTCTGTACGGGTCCGTTGGGTTGCAGGACCTCAAGACGCCATGGCGCGGCGAGTGTGGCGAGTGCACTTCGCTGCACCTCACCGACGAGGCGTTCGTGGCCGACTGGGAGGCCCAAAACAAGGAGGAACCGCGTCCGCCCTCCCTGCGCAAAGTAATTTGGACATTTGCGCCCGTCGAGGAGGAGGAATCTTCAGAGGAAGATACTGAAAGCGACTATGTGGACGACTTGACGCGTCTCCAAGAACGGTACTGGATGGAATTGGACCATGACTCGGACGATGACAGTGGATGGGACAGTTTGGGGAGCGGCGATGAAAATTAAGGTCGACACCGCCTTGGAGTCCCCTTTTTGGGTATCATAGGCAAGCACCGATAGTCGTGTCGTATAGATCAGGCAGATGATCTCACACCCCTCTATCTATTTGTCTAGCACGTAAAATAGAATACATGGACATTGATAAACCAGCCAGTACGCTTCGGTGCATGCTGTAGTTTTATTCGCTCGCGCATATGCATCGCCCTCCTCGCCCTCTGTGGGACTGGCAGCCGGAAAGTAGGTTCGCAACTACAAAGGCACGCACCACGGCACCTCTGGTTATCATACCCGTAACCTACTTCTTGCGCGTCAAGACGACGGCAATGGAATCTCATTGCCTCTCATGCAACTGATTCGGACGGCCGCACTCGCGAGACACAGAAAGAGAGCGCCGAATATCCCATCTTCCCGCATACACAGTTATCCAGTCATCAAAGTCCGTGGCAACAAGGTCTAGTACCAATCAGAGAGTGACTGGGACACAACCAATATGAATGATACCGCCTTGGTCCTACTGGAACGGTCAATCTCCACTGCGCAGGGCATTAAGAGTGACTTACGAAGCCTTTGTCATCGCGGCCGACAGTTTCGTAGCTACAGGATTGTCTGATGGTCAGCGGGCTGCAGCCGATCTTGTTGACTTCCTCGAGATCGTCGACAACGACACCGGTGAGTGCGCGAGCTCTGGGACCGGTAGCCGAGCCCGCCTATATAGAACCAGACGTATTGTTAGTTCCCAGGTTCCTGCAAGCTATGAGAGAGCTCATGGTGGTGGACCGTGGTCGTCCGGCAGCATTGCGGATCGCCGGCTCCATTGCACTGGCCGATGGTCGAGGCCGCAGTGGATTCGGTGGTCGTGGTTGTGGGCTGCTCCCAGGGATTCGCGAACGCGACGACGGTGATGAAGGCGATGGTGACGATGCGAGGAAAAGCAAGCATGATGTACAGACCGGAAGCGAGGTTTGCTGATGCGAGTCGAGTGTAGTAGTTCGTTAAGTTCCCGACGAGGAGAACTGGGCACCTGTGTCGAACGTCCGTGAGGGGGATTCCTTGAGACCATTGATCGTTCACCGCAGCTTTCCCAGCCTACCGGACTCGCCCCACTTGTCGAGTCCGACGCTTGCGCGCCAGGCACAGTTCCTGCGTTACGAGAGGATGTAGTCTGGTCGGAATTCGTCATGAACGTGTGGAGGAATGTGACCCTTACCGGGAGACGGCCTTTACGCCACAGTCCTACATTGAGGTAAGCGACGGCGTACCTAGCCGGAAGCGTTCCTTGAATATTCCACAGGACAGACTTGATGGAGAACTAGGCACAAGTTTGACGATTTGACGCATACCTATGGTCCTCATTTCCTGCCAGTGGAAGGACTGCGTATTCTGGCGGCTCATTCGAGAACGCGTCATGCATGTTTGAGCTTGAGGCGTGTCAATCCCGTAAGTCTAGCCTGAGGGTACGCGGTCCATTACCGACGAGCGGTCCTAGTCAAATATGTTCGCGCCTCAGAAATGTCACGGAACAGGGCATGATAGACGAGGACTCCGTATTTCCTAACGGCTACCGCTCATCACAGTCAGTCACGCAGGCCATGATATGAAGCCTTGTACATACCTCCCACCAGTAACGCTCGTCGATATCAACACTGAAGCAGCAGAGACAACTTACCGAATGTATGGCAGAACGGCGGGCCTAAGTCAACTCACCTATCCGAGTGTTTCGCTGTACCTGATGATTTCGCTGACGGACGCGTCGATAGAATTGAGCGGATATTTGTGTCAGTGTACGTCATGTTTCGGCAGGTCTGGGCTCTGACAACATTCACATTTGTTCGCGGCATATCACATAAACTCACCTGATGCTACAGCCAGACTCGGCTGAACCAAATATCGTCAATGATGAGCAACCTGGAAAAACGGACACAATCATCATCTCAACGTAGTGCACAGCATGAACACAATTGTACAAATTCAACGGTTACTGCTCTTGTTCCCGTCAGTGAGCAGTTCACAATCGTTCCCACTCCACGACGTCCATACGGCGCATAGCTTCTCGTCCCTGTACTACAGTGTCAGCTTTCTGTGGCACCGCCGACATCGTCAAAACCCTACCTGGGCTTGACAATACGGTGTATACATCAACCGCATTACTACCACCCTTCGTTGTTCCTGCAGCCGAACAAACGGACCAATCTTGAAATGAGGCATCACTTCAGACCGCAGAGGCCGACCACCTGCGAGGGTCCAGGGATTACGGCGATTACCACACAGTAGACAGTTTGATACCGGGCGACGACGTACCGCAACAACCGACGCGCGCCCATGCCCACATAATGTGACTTTCCTGAGGCCCGTCCGTAAAACGGGGTCAGCGTGTTGCTAGTACGAGGTATGAGGATAGCTGCACGTTCGTCGGTTACCAAGGCTGACGTACAGTACGCAGAGGTGGCGCTACGTACCCAGCTGAAACCTGTCAAAAATTATCGGAATGAAGGATGTCCGAAGACATCAGCAGCGAATTGAGAAATCCGCGGACGTGTTATACTTCATTTCGAATAGGCGGGGCCGAGCCAGAAGGGCCCCATCCCTGACTTCAAATTGTCAGCGGCAAAGACCGAATACATCGCGAACCTGTGGCAGGAGGTGCGATGTCGGCCGGTGTTCCTTGCTGGTCTGACGAATTCTACGTTCAAGTCCAGGATCAGTACATCGCGCAGTAAGCTGAAGCAGGTCGGTTTCTACGAGTTGGACTCGACGCATTCCATCAATTAAGCTTAAGCTTAACCACAGTGATCGCAAGCTTGAGGCTAGTATCAGATCACGTACATCAACAAGATATTGACATACCGGCCGATATCAGCGTGTTTGCTCTGTCACTCTTCCGATTGATTGGCCACGCAATGGAACACATCGAGATCGAAACCGCGATACGTATGCTGATTCTTTTCTTGCAGCCCAATACAAATGCGCCGCACCGCTCTGTCGTGCCTGGCAGAACATATTCCGGCGCCAATCTCTGCAAAATGCCACGTCAGTTTCGACGTTGGAGTACGGAATTGGAATGCCTCAATGAGGCATAAAATTGTATCATACACGTACAATGCGGAGCCGGGCTTGGGAATACAGAGAGACGGCAGACTTCAAGGCACCTTCAGGGAATCATATAGAGACGAAAGCCCTGCGTTTGCACTCATAGAGTACCCGTGACAGCCCGACGGAGACAGGGAGGGCCACATCCTACACGTCGGCCAGACTGAACTGATCGGCGAATAGCTAGTGACGATATGGCACTCACACAGCAACCTGTATTTGCATCACCGTCGGCCGCGAGGGCAGCGGAACAGTGGGTCCGGGAGTTAGGTCCGATCATCACCCGGGACACCTGGAGGTCTTGCGATTGGAGGGGCTCTGAACTGGATGAAAGGAGTACCCCTGGAAGACACGAGAGAACGGCGGGACTGATGAAAGAGGACCCCATTCCCGCTCTCCATCGTGACAATGCTCGAAAGCAATCGAAAGAGACGTCACTTCCGCATCAGACGAGTATGTTGTGCCTGCAGACTCGAAAAAATTCTAGTCAGTGCCCCACTCAATCCATAACACGAATTGCAATGTCTACTGACGCAGCTTTTTTGGCGGACTTGAAGATCTAGCTGTTGAATGTCATGAAGCGTCAGCACGAGTATAAAGGCAGTCTGCGCTGAAGCCTACCTCCCTATCCCTCAGCGACAGCTCGAAAACGCCGCAAGACTTCATCTGCCTCAAGCATACAGCTAGCTACCGACAATGTTCTCGTTCACCCGCCTTCTCATCGCCGTTGCTCTTGCCACCGCCGCGCTCGCAGGGGAACCCACGACCACCGTGACCGTGACCGCCACACCCACGGCTACGTCCGTCAGCCAGTGCAACGTCTCCGGCAGTGCGCAGTGCTGCCAGACGACTACGACCGTGAGCGTTTCACTTTTGGTCGTGATGTTTCTGCATGCAAAGTACTCATCTGTGATCCTTGGATAGGCTGGGTCCACAGTGGGTGCTGCTGAGCTCGCGCTCCTCGACATCGTCGTAACCGATCTCACCTCCATCATCGGGATCGGCTGTAGCCCGTTGACTGTCGGTCAGTCCTGCAGCAGCACGCCCGTGTGCTGTGACGAGAATGGCATTGTGAGTCTAATTTGATTTCTAATTTGTGTACCGGGTGAATGGAGGCTGACTGAATTACGAACAGGGCAACCTCGTCTCTATCGGTTGCGTGAACATCGTCCTGTAGGGACAATGCGTCAATGAAGGGGTGGGCGGCTCTTCAATGCACAGTGCACGATCGTTATCATAGTTCAGATGTGAGGTGTACTACTCACTGTAGCGACGCCCTCTGCCTGCACCCTCTGAAAGCGCACTGCGCATCGTACTTGTAATAAAATCAATGAAGTGGACTGGGGACAAAAGTGTGAATCAGTGCAACAGTGAAAATCGACTTGAACGCGCTTGGGGGACCAGGCTCACATGATGCGCATACATCCTTCTCACTGGCAATGATTCATAAGTTACTCACCCATAATCCCATGCCACTACGCAAATCCTTGACTTGAGTTTCTCCTTGCCGAGTGCCGCTTGTTTAAGTGTTCTGAACACTCAGGCCAGTATGACTTCAGTGCTTATGAACTTGAAGCTGCGTGGGCACGGGATGCAAGTCGCGAACGAGAGCCCGCACGGTGGTGCTTCGATGCGGGGGGATATTGGCTGAAATCATATTCCGTGTCGTTCCCATCTTCCAAATAGCGCAGAGGAACAAGTCAAGTAAGATTGCATGCTCAGGCTGTACTACGGAGGTGCATGGCCCAGTGCAGGAACAGTCATGGTCGCGACCTGTCCTAGTCGCGACGCGTCGGACGCGTTTGCCATGCGCCACACCAGCCACGCCGTCGTTCCCACGCCACAAAGCAGCACAATTTTTGCGCAACCGTCCAACTTGAACGTGATACGTTACCGGTATATCCTCAATGCACATCGTGTACAGTTCTACTTATGCCCATCATTTCTAGCGGGCTACAATTTCTCGACTAGGTCGCCTTTTTTCTCTGTGTCAAGGGAATCAAACGTGCGCCAGGAGCAAGTACACCTCTGACGAGTTTAGCAGACAGCTTAGAGACTTACCAAGGAGTTCGGCGAACGAGGCCAGTGAATAGTTCATTTTTATATTGCTAGTCCGGACGACACGCTCCTGGAGTTTCTATGCCCGGCGCAACACGAAGGCTTTGGCTAGAAACAATCCCAAACCCATGGCACCGGCTTTGCATCGGGCGAATGACGAAAGCTGACTCGGAGGCTCAAGTTATTCATCATGTACCGACAGGGCAGCCTAGCATATCGTGGATCCCATAATCGTCATGGTGCCAAACTCTACTGAACAACTTCTGTCTCAGCTACGAATCGGAACCCACTTACTCTATGACGGGGGACGAAACGGATAAGTACCACGGACCATCGTAATATCACATCACATGGTTCCCTCGTCATCAGCGACCTGCGAGATCATCCCCACAACACGATTGAAGAAGTCGTTGATCAGTCCATCGCTGACACGCCCGGAATTCCACTTGAACTGCAACTTCAATCTGTCGTCGAACGTCCACATTGCGAAGTTCATCGTCAGCGGGTCCACCTTCGCCGACGAGATCTCGTCCAGCACCCGGATCTCCGCGCTGACAGCCTCAGGACCCGGCCCATTCACCACGCTGACCACAGCAGAGGTCTGCACAGGATACCGGACAGGCAGGATGCTCTTCAGGTTGCCTAAGCTGCTCATGTTCGGCACGGACGCCCGGGCCCGCCCGGCCATCTGCGCCATGTAGTTCTCTATGGCCAGCGTGTCGTAGAATCGCTTGAAGTTCCAAAAGTACGGCGAGTTGACGTACGCCTCGTGGCGCGCCTTGAACTGGCGTGCCACGTCCCACAGTGCGCCTGTCGTGTACGAGGCCACTTTGGACTTCGGGATGGAAAGGATGACGGGGTAGCCAATGAAGTGTAGCGCCGTCTCCGTCTCCCCATTGCTCGACACCCGGGTAAGCTTAGCGTGTATGTCGAACGCCTGGCAGAGCTCGAAGTAGTAGTTGTCCTCCGAGTCGCTGGGTTGCGCCGCTCCCTGGCACTGCACGGAGGCGAACGCGCTAGAAACGTTCGCGAGGTGGGTGATCGTGACGCCACGCGCCTTGCAGGCCATAAGAATGCGTCGAGTCTCTTCGATAGACCAAATTTGACGCCGAAAGCGAGGCTGGAAGTTCTCTTCCTTCAAATCACCGTCGGGAACGAGACCTGACAATCGCTACCAGGAAAGTCAGCGATAATCGCTTCGGAGTGTTTCTTAGCACTCTCACCTTGCTCCTGAATTTGATGAGCTCATCAAATACCTCCTTCGCCTTTGCAAGCTCGGCAGGGTCGGACTTGCTCGTGTCAGGGAGGAGGCTGTCCATTGCAGGCGGGATCTCTACAACTGGTGTCTCTCCAGCAAAGTGCGCTGCAAGCTCCCGCTGAGCGCGGCCAGGCGTAGCAAGCAGTTCCAGCATGCACCGGACGATGTTCGCCCTACGACGGCCGTCCGCGACGGCGTGCGCCATCATGATACCGAGAATGTACCGCCCGGTGCCTGCGTCTGCATCGCGCCCCCAGTAGAGGGAGCATGTCCCGCTGCGCACATCGAGCGCGTCCTCCGAATCCGGGGTGAGCCAGCGGTCGCGCAGCGCCTCGGTAGCGGTGTCCTGGTCGTCAAATGTGTGGAACTCGATTTGCGCTCTGGCCGCGCGTAGGGCGTGCGCCATGGTGAGCGGGGAGGCATACACGAACTCCGGCCGCTGCGCGGCGTGGAAAGCGACAGTGGACGAGAGGAGCGGGTGCCGCAGACGAAGCGCGGCCCAGGCGTGCACGACGTTATCGTCAGTGACGGTATACCCGCCTGAGCAAGTGAGGGGGGTGATACCGAAGATGTCCGAGTACCCACGCGACCCACGCATACTCAGGAGGCCGAGCTCGAAACCCCCTAGCGGTCTGCTGGAGGTAAGAGCGGTTCCGAAAAGGTGTGGGTAGGCTGGCTTCTCGTTGGTGTCGAGATGCAGCAACGCCGACGGTGGGGCGGTAGCGTTCGTAGGTGCTGAAGCCATGACAGTGAAATGCGCGTGGTTGTAAATGCCCATAGGACCCAGCCTTTTATCTACGCCACATGTTCAAATGGCACATGCATTGAATTCGCCTACGGTGAGGTCCCAACCAATTCCGCTCGGAGAGCATGTCGAGCGTATTCCCATAAACCACGGCCTCCGCTGCAACGAACGGGTCTAGAAACATGTAATCTGTTATGTTACAACAGGCGGTTCGAGAGCCTCTGTAAGGTCTTGTTGGTTTGCGCATATACCCAAGGCATCAATGATATGGATGCTTCCGGGAAGCCTGAAACAAAGGCATCAATGTTAGCAGACGATCACGATGGGCGTACAGTAAATATGGTACCTATCACCGAGGTGTGGCCATCGTACCATCCTGTTTTTCGGGAGGCCTTCCCGACCATCGCCGTTACTGTGAGAGCTCAGACGATCGATATTTAATACCCACTTGCTGACCAACTCAACAGTGGTAGAACAGATGCCGCGCCTTTGACCTCAGGCTCGTCTCCGCTCCGTCCAGTCTGTCTCTCGATCACGTTAACCACAGATCGCCGCGACGGGAGCCGTGTCGCGGGCGCACATCAAGGGTGCCCGCATACTTAGTCGCAGGCAAACTCAGAAAGTACTTGATTGATCCGGCGGCGGGATTGACCTCTAGCCTCAGACGCCAGCCTGAGCCATGCGCGAGGAGGTGTCCATTGAGCTGCAGTCACGGTGTACATAGGCAGTGCGATGGTTTGCCAAAGAGCCGTAAAGTGAGCTGAGACCGCGAGGGAAGGGTGTCAACGAGTGGGAGCGGGAAAAGAGCGAGCATTGACAAGGCTCGAACCTGGAATGCTGGAGGAGGAGGAGGAGGAGGGATCATTAAGTAGCTGGCACGCAACAGTGGCAAACATGCGCCCTCGTCACATTAGCACGTGACGTGTGACGGTGACCAGTGCAGAACTGAATCCGAGTGACGTTGTGGTTCGCAGGGTTACAATCAGGTTACAATGGTGCTCGTCACTGTTGCGCGTGCCCAGGAGGAGGGGGAGGAGGGTCCATGTCACGGTATCCACCGACCGATGGCGCACGCGCGAGACGCGTCATTGCCGCAATAGCTGCGCGCGTCTCAGCCACAAGCGCGTTTGGCGTGACGTCATCGCGTACCACTCCGCTTGCTGTCAAGAATAGTCTTCACATCACTCTCCTGCGTCATTCTCCACTCGTACTGAACTGCATAAAGGGTCGCCATGGACGACGTACCGAGTACCACATTTCACCCAACTCCTACAGCATACATCCATCTTCACCAATCTCACGACACTTCACGAACTCTGAACGATGTCCCCGTCAGTCAACTCCCCAGCACCGACCGCGAGCCAGACCGGCAACAGCGATGCCACCAGCACACAAAATGGCCAAGACAACCACAGTGAATATCCCGAGCAGCGGCATGCAGGTGCAGTCGGGCTCGGTCCTGAATTTGGTCGCGGCGTGGTAAGCAACAACGAAATCTTACTTGGTATGTGATCGACGATCGCTGATAATGCGGCGGGTAGACCACCGGCGAGAAGTTCGAAGGTTACAAGGAGGAGCTGAAGGGCAAGGTCCTCCGCAAGCCCGATGTCGTGCAGCACGGGCACGACCTGCGCACCGGCGAGCTCAAGCGTAGGGAGCAAGCCGAAGACGACGTGGTGCGTCTCTTCCTTCCCCGCCGCGCACTGAGCCGCGCACTGACGATTGCAACGTTTTCCAGAACCCGTTGCGGGGACCGGATGAGGCCGATGCGAACGTGCAAAATGGTGACCGCCCGGAGGTCCCGAAGAGCGACAGCAACAAGCCCACCGCGATGCCGCCCCGCGTCGGCGACACGTCGCACCCGACGGAGCAGGGGAGGTACGAACAGGCAACGAGCGTCGCGCCTGAAGGGTCTGCGACGAGCGCACCTGGGGAGCACGCGTACAAGAACATAGGATGAGGTGCTGGCGGTGGAAAGTGCCCTAGTCGGATGCGGATGGAACTTGGATGGAACTGAAGACTCCTGGTTTTATGATAGTAATACATTGTACTAATCGCACATTGATCTCGTGGCATACTCTGTTGTCGATGGGCATCGAGCGTCGAAAGTCAAGATCTTGAGACTTCGAGCAGCCCTAGAATGTGAATGAGAGGATGAAACTGATCGAAAATGAAGAAGATATCCGATCCCGATGGTGCCCAGACGCGCCGGTCAATTACGTACAGTACGTTTGATCTACTCTTCTGCGAGAATGCGACGGGCGCAGACAAATTGGACCTGAGAACTGTAGGAGCAGAGCCCACGCACACGCAGAAATTTCTCTATACCGATCGCACAAGCCTGAGCAGAACGTACTACGCCTGCAATTCCCTCGAGAAGACACGGGGAGGGGTCTGCGGAGAGCTAGCTAGTGGTAAGTAAAAGATGGAGGAAGTAGGAGTGCTGGATGGACACCGTACCGCTCGGCCACCTTCAGCCACCCGAACCGCACGATCAGCTATGTACTCTCCTCGTCGACGTCAACTACCTGCGAAATGATCTCTACGACCCGATCAAAGAAGCTGCGCATGATGCCATCGCTCATGTGCCCCGCGTTCCACTTGAACTGCAAGTTCAACCTGTCGTCAAACGTATACAACAAGAACGCCGCTGAATGCGGGAGGGCCTTCCCCGTCTGGATCTGGTCCAAGACCCGGATCTCCGCGCTGACCACCTGAGTCTTGCTCGCCGTCCCGTTCACGGCCGCGCGAGATGGCTGGACGGGATACCTGGCGGGCAGGACGCTCTTCATGTCGCCCAAGCTACTCACATAAGGTATGAACGCGCCCCCAGCCATCTGCGCCATGTAGTTCTCCGCCGCGATCGCGCCATAGAAGGGCGCGAAATACCACAAGTACGGCGAGTCCACGTACGCCTCGTGGCGCGCCCTGTACTGCCGCGCCGCGTCCCAGAGCGCGTCCGACGTGGAGGAGGCGAAGGCGGCGCGCGGGACGGCGAGGACGATGGGGTAGGTCGTGCAGCGTAGCGCCGTCTCCGTCTCTCCGTTGCTCGATAACCGGGGCAGCTTCGCGTTCGTGTCCATCGCCTGGCAGAGATCGAAGTAGTAGCAGTCTTCCGGCGAGCCGCCGGACCCCGAGCTATCGCCCGGCGGGACCGCCCCGCGACTCGCGCACTGCACGCTTGCGAACACGCTGGCCGCGTTCGCGAAGTGCGTGATCGTCACGCCTTGCGCCTTGCAGGCCTTGAGAATGAGTTTTGTCTGCTCTGTGGACCAGGTCTGACGCACGAAGCGGGGCTGGATGTTGTTCTCTGCGGCGTCGCCGTCGGGGACGAAGCCGAACAAGGGCTGCCAGGGCCCGTCAGTGCGATTCGGCTTCAAATATATGCCAGTCTCACCCTTCTCCTGAGCTTGACGAACTCGTCAAACGCTGCCTTTGCCTTGGCGAGCTCAGCAGGGTCGGCCTTGCTCATATCGGGGAGGAGACTATCCAGCGTAGGCGGGATCTCCACGATCGGCGTCTCTCCAGCGAAGTGCGCCCCGAGCACCCGCTGCGCCCGGCCGGGGGTGGCGAGCAGCTCCAACATGCACCGGACGATGTTCGCCTTGCGCCGCCCGTCCGTGACGGAGTGCGCCATCATGAGGCCGAAGATGTACCTCCCCGCGCGCGGGTCGACGTCGCGCGCCCAGTAGAGGGAACACGTCCCATAGCGCAGGTCGAGTGCGCCCTCGGGATCCAAGGACAACCATTGGTCACGCAGCGCCTCCGCCGCAGCGTCCTGGTCAGCGAAGGTGTGGAACTCGATCTGCGCACGGGCCTCGCGCAGGGCGTGCGCCTTGGTGAGCGGGGAGGCGTACACGAACTCGGGCGGCTGCGCCGGGTGGAATGCGATGGTGGACGCGAGGAGCGGATGCCGCAGACGGAGCGCGGCGCAGGCGTGGATCACTTCGTCGTCGGTGATGGTGTGCCCGCCTGAGCAGGCGAGGCTTGCGATGGTGAACGTGTCGGTGTACCCGCGCGCGCCCCGCGGGAGCAGGCAGCCGAGCTCGGTGGGTCCTAGTGGCCTGCTGTACGTTAGGCTTCCCTCGCGGAGGTACGCATACGGTGGCTTCCCGCCAGTGCCAGAGAACATCTGAGACGGTGAGGCTGAGGAAGCGGTGTCCGTCGTAGGTGCTGGAGCCATGGAAGCGAGATGCGCGCCCTTCTGGATGGGCGACTTCTACATGCGAGCGAGCTATTTAACATGTTCTTCCGATTGTCCCTGAACCATATGCAGAGCATCGCTTGGCCTGCGCATCTAACGGGGATGGTTCGTCGATGACAGTGCAGCTGACTGTAAAGAGTCCCTGGAAGCTGTTACCTGTGTCACTTTGCCTCTCGCATGTTGAATCGGATATAGACAAACATACAAGTTATGACAAGCCACAGGGCCAACACATAGCATATTGGAGGTATTGTGATCTTGTGCGCGCTCCATACAACTTGAGGTAGTCGCCGCTGCAGAGCACACCAGCAGTAGAGGCCGAGTCAGCAGTCGCCTACAACGGATGGGACACGATACCGCACCTGCTGCATCGCATCATAACCGAGTCCGCGTCCGTTCACCGCTGCAGTGAGAGATTGGACGGTACTGTAGTGCACGCCCAACGTCGTACATGTCGTGCTGCGTGACATGCATAATCTCACACGCTAGTGGTGCGTCCGGTGCCAGAGTTTGAGCTAGCTTGACCGCCGAGGTTCTCGATTAATCCAGAAGTGATTATTCAGGCGGAATGTAATGAGGTAGATTGACATGTGTTGTGACGATGCTATATAAACTCGAGCTAGGTCGTGAATGGCCGACACTGGTCTGTGTCGTGTTTAGAGACCATCAGGAACGTCACGTACTCTGCTACTTTACCTGAGAAAGACCACTCAGACGGTATGGCACTAACGTTTGCATCATCTATGTGGTCGCATTGAGTTGAGTGCGACACTGTGCGACAATCGGGACGTGAGAAGCGCGGGTGTCGGAGGCAGAGCGCAGCGTGGGCATGAATTACTTCGTCGTCGGGGATCGTGTGCCCTCCCGAGCAGGCGAGCGGCGCAATGGTGACTCTGTCGGAGTAGCTGCATGGTCCCCGAATGAGAAGACAGCCGAGTCCGCCCTAGTGACCTGCTCAACGTCAGAGTGGTCTCTCGGATACGTGCACAGAGAGGTGAGTGCGATGGAGTGATCCCTGCAGATCTAGACTCGGAAGTTATGACCACGTCTGCAAGAATCGCGTGATAGGACGGCGTAGTTAGCCTCCTCTCTCCTCCTCCACTTCCATACAATAACTTTACTTTCTCGTTACGGTATGCCGCGCGGCAGCCTGCCAATACTCTCGTCGACGCGTCTCTCGTCTGTAGGTCTTCGCCGCTCTTCGCCGGCCTTGCTAGCTCAGGTCGTGTTGCCACGGCGAGTTCCAAGTCGCGATGAGTGCTTCCGAGTCCATCGTCGTTGGCCAATCCACAGCAGTCCCGCTTCAATTTGAGAAGAGAACATGGATATTGAGCAGGGTAGACCAAGAGGGGAGGTCGGACGCAAGTTGAAGCAACGTTGAAGTCGGACGCCGCGCTGACGGCGCGTCCTGTCGTCACGGAGCGTCACAGACGAAACATAACGCAGGTAACATCTGGAGAGACCGTGACGGCGACTCGGAGCGGCATCTGAATGCAAGCAAAATCCACATACTTGACGTGCCAAAATCTTTCGACACGTACTTTCTAGCCTGATATATGGAACTATTCTCATCTACACATAAAGCTATCGGAAAGCAGAGCAAAAAGGGATGTTGGTTGTAGTCCAAGGCGCAGCTTCGGGCAAGACTACGATGGTTTGCCATGAGACAAGGACTCGCAGAGACAGAAAATATCGGCTGGGCGGGCCTTGTCAGCCAAGACATCCTGCGAATCACCAAGACCGATGACGGTTAACTTACGGCGAAGGCTGGCGGAATGGCTTGTCTCCTGGGGCGTCACATCTGTGAGTACTACATACCGCCTGTATTGAACGTATTTTGACGAGATATGCGTGACATTGCCGTTCTCAGCGATGAGCGCGGACTTGTCCTAGCTTCTGTCGACATTCAGTTCAGACTGCACAGGACGCAGACCACAATGAGGGCGACCTACGTTCTTTGAAAGCGCACGAATAGCGCCGTGTTCTGAGCCCCTCGTTGGCAGTGACATAAACCGACTGCCTTGACTCTGAGTGGAAGAGGGTAGTCGCATGCATGTTCTACACACGGACTGCGGGATTGTCCCATCGCTTTGCTGACCACTGTGCTAGGCGTGTTGTTCCCGAGTCAAGGTTGGGCTGGTGCGCCGTGACTGAACTTCCAAAGGACCACGTCTGACGATAAGTCGCGTCAGTTGCAGACGTACCCATATACCAGACAATACTAAGAGAAATAGGTGAGAGGTCCACTCACTGTCGATGCGTGAGCCACGCTTATGACGATCACGGCGAAGTATGAAGTCTTCGCCTGAGCGGCCATAGTTCCCTCCCCCGGCCGTTGGTCCTGCCGCCGCTTCCCAAGAAACCAGCTTTTCAAACAACCTGAGCTAGTAACATGGACATGTGTGCTTGGTTGCGCCAACATCTTGATGTGAGTGACTACACCAGCCACGCTATGTCGAATGAAAACTTGAAGGCACTCGCATGTGCCAATTCGAATCTGAGGTTGGCTATGTTCCTCGTTATGAACTCGGAAACCCAATCTCACGCTCCTCGATGCGAATGAGAGAAAGATGCGGAAGCTTCAGTGAGCTGTAATGACTCTCGGGCTGCCGCTGCCTTGGCTCAGACTCGTGAAGCACTCATGAAATATGCATATGGTAACGAGTAGGGTGGGGTCATGGTGTTGCCCGCGCACGAGAGTGCATCATGATGAGATACCCTGTCTCCCGCCTTATGACGTTGGTGTACGCTCATCAGCAGATATACTAGGCATACGAGGGACGGTGCCAATGATCCGCCATATTACATGCGGGAACGGGTGGTCGTCGGCCAGTTGGCACTGCTCGAGACGTGTATGGTGGCCAGGGTGTCCCGTTACGAATGCGAACAGTCGCGAAACGTGAGTCTCCGCTTGCGTGCAATTGCCGAACACCCACTCATGACCAGGTCTTCCACTACGGCAGCTAAAAGAACTGTGACATCCTTAGAGGATCGAGACGCAGGCACCAGAAAGCCGCCTCCGTCCGGCCATACGTCGGTCAAGACGAGGTAAGTATACACGCACCTATCTTGCCTGCAGGTATGGCGACAAGTAGATTGATGGACTGCTTTGCTCATGGCAGAAAGCAATGCAGGACAGACGGGAGGCTCAGTGCGGAAGGAAGGAGAAGCAAGGCCCTGCGTGATGTAACACGGTCACGCAATTTGTGGCCCATGGACGCGCTGGGTTTCGCGCGTTGATCTCAAGCCCAGCCACTACCCTGGTGGCCCACCCTTAACAAGCCATCCGCGCTTACGACTCCCCCTCACTTCTGACCACCGCCTCCTTTCATCTTCCGGCCACACCTATAAAAAGGTCCTCGCGGTCACAACAATATGAACGCAAACACCGCTTACCGTTAGTAAGTCTTTGTGACGCTTTGACCGGGTGCCACACCTGACGCGACGGCCGCAGCCCGCTCCCTCCAGCAGCTCCCTGGCCACAAAGTCCTATGCCATCGTCCGTCCGCCCGTCTTTCGTACCGCCCGCTTCGATAGCAAGTGCCGCTACAGCTGGCTATGATTATCATGCACGGTACGTTATGAGATGCTTCATCAAGGTGGCCGACCTGAGTGTAGTCCCATAGCGCGGACGACGTCCCCGGCCAATCCCACCTTTCAACACCTGTGGCCATAGCGCCACTATACCCTGCGGAAGATTACAATTCGACTGATGTGGAGGGTGAGATAGGAGAAACAGGGTTCGGTTCTACATTCTCCGCCAGGTGAGTCTTGGCGATGCTTTGACCTTTGTGTCACCCTGACTGGGACTCGACAGCATCCGTGGCAAACGATTGCGGCCACTGTACCCGCCTACACCGGCCCCTGCTACATCCTTTGCGATACGGGCTCCCCCCGTTATTGCTGCCCCCTCGACGGTCGACCCCGCTACGGGCAAGCCGCTGACAGCGGCACCGGCGCATCCCGCCAAAAGGCGACGCATAGAGCCATCAACGATGCCTATCGAAGAAGCCATCCAAATGTCTAGCCAGATATCAGACAAGGACGTCAGCAAGCATTTGGAATGCGTACGTGGACCACAAGCTTTCAGCTGTGGGATCCAGGATTGCAGGACTGGGATTCAATCGACGACGCAAGACATCAGAAGACATCTGAAAGAGCATCACGCCCGCCCTGATGGTGGGTATGTCCTCGACGATGTCCCTCTCGACTTCTGTCCGTGGCCTGGCTGCAAGACAGGCCAGAAGAGCTCGGACACAAAACGATCAGCAAAGGAGCAATCAAAGATCCGGCACATCCTTGATAAGCATGGGGATGAGGGGCTCTGGAGTTGCCGTTCTTGCAATAGTACTCTATCCAAGTCGAGGCGGAGCATGCGGAGACACATACGGGGCTGCCTTCAGTCAGTGCAACTGATTTCTTTTGTGACAGATTCTAACTCGCATTGATCATAGACGCAAAGGATACCGGCCTACAATACAGGATGGTACAACATTCGAAGCGGATAGCAATGCTTCCGCGTCCGACAGCGCCACAACCGCTACACCAACGAACACGGGACCCAACGCCAGCGACGGCGTGGCGTACGGATCTTGGCGACACAGCGCGGGCCCCGAGCACAAGATGGACGCAGGGGCTAATCCTCCCGTTCAGAAACTGCAACTCTTCAGCGTCGAGTTTGATGTTGAGGGTACCCGCCGAATTGTACGCATTCCAGACGATGACGACGAGCCAGAGGAGCTCAGACACTCGTTCTCACCGGACACCTACGAGCTCGACCTACATAGGCCCGAGGACGCGTCGCCCGCTTTGAGCGCCGCGAGTGGATCTACCCCCCAGGTGCCCGTGGACGAGCCATTCTTTCTGAGGGCACTCCAGCATGCTCCCCTCGAGGCCGAGCGCTCGATGGTGCCGGTCCACTGGCAGGGTATCCGCGGGGAAGCGATTCAGAACACTCACGTCAGTGCCGGACCTTCTGCCGGTATAACGCAAGGGGCCTCTCGGGTTGACCCGCCGTTGCCCTTTGGCAGCGCGGAGGTAGCGGAGTGGAATTTCGACCCGTCCATCCACCAGCTCTTGGCCGAGAACACCGTTGACAGCCTCCCATTCCACCGGGCTGATTGGTCGTACGGTTCTGTCGCCAATGACCCCCTCGGCGGCGCCTTCGTATCCTTTGGTGGTCTCCCTGCCAATGCCATGCTCAACCCTACCAGTCCCGCTGTTGTGCTGGACGATGTGTTCTTCGCAGAGCTGAATGCCCAAATGAACGCCCCGGCTCAACGCATCCTCTCTGACTCACAGTCGGGTCCTACAGCAAGCTTGCGCTTTAACTTCAACAACTCGGACGAGAGCAGTGCTTGGTCGCCCACCTCCACCACACCAGAGTCCTGTGAGCCTGGCTCCGAGTCGGAGTACGCCCTCGCGATACCCTCAACCGCGACGAACACGGAGAACGTCGACCCCAGAAGTGCCTCCCCGTCATCCGCGCACTCGATCGTTGACATCAAAGAGGCGGCGTGGTTGTCAGTTGAGTTCTTGCAGGGGTTTGAGGCTACTGCCTACCTCTGAGCGCGGGCTCGCGTGGGAGGACAGGCTTCATACCTCGCTCCGGCACGGTACCCGTAATCGGTTCGTATCTGCTCCTGGGGGGAATCGCCTTCCCTATCCCCTCAAAACATCGCTTTCGTATTTTATCTCTCGCTATCCCACCTGCTTGCGCGCACATCTGCATTGGTATCATCGCTTTTCTCTACATATCTCCATACCCTCGTGCATTTGATACCTATCCACCTGCTAGTGCTGTCCTCTGTAAGCGTTGTCTTTGTATCGTATTGCCTTGTTGTACTGTCACTGTGTTTCCCTACTAATGACCGTGTATTCTGGAGTTCTAGTGGTGCATCAGACTCTTTATGTTCGTTCCACAGGCTCGGCCAACTGGTAGGTTCGACACAAACCCCACGCGTGAACGTGAGAGGCCGCGTGGAGGGTCTTGAATCGAGACTAGGCCAACTGGTGCCACTGGCCGCGTTCCACAGGACCTGCCAAATCCGGATGAATCGTGGCTGACCCCGCTCGCGTTAGGCTCGCCGCTCACCGGAACGGAAGTGCGATCCAATCTCCCGTCTCAGACTCGCAACTGTAAGAAATGAATGCCGGGACGTTTTGTATTTCGACCCCAAAATCCAAATGGTAAGCGCTACAGCAAGGGGGCAGGTAAGATAAATAGCGAGCATAGGCGTGCAGAGCGTGACGCTTAGTACATCGGCGGGTATGTACAGTAGCTACTATGTACGGAACGACACGTCCTACAGTACAGATCAGCGGTGTCCGTAGCGGGCGGGAGGCCGCCGCGCTCCTGGGCGGAGCATGGCAGAACAGAAACGCAGAGGGCACGCTTATGCGTTGCCGTACGAGTGCAACCCGTCGGCGTACGGGTAGGGCACATTCGTCTGCATCAGGCTCTGGTTGATGTCCGTCGTCGTGAGCTTGTACGGGCCCTGCCAGAGGTCACTCTCGTCCTCCAGCTGCTCGACGTACCGCCGAATCACGACCACGATGTCTGCAGCGGTGTCAGCGACCCATATTCCCGCAAAACGCGCTCGGTAGTGGGACTCGCAGAGGTGGACGAGTATCAGGACAGAGAGGACCACGGTGATGATGATCTTGCCCGCCTTGCTGACGTGCGTGTCGCACTGGTCGATCGTGATGTTGTTGTTCGCGTTCGACACGACGCAGTCCGTGGTGAGGTTCTTCTCCGTGTAGAGCGTCCAGAGGAAGAGCCCCGAGGAGACGAGCGACGCGGTGAAGAGGACGATGGACATGGCGGAGTACGACTTGACGAACCGCCGGTTGCGCGTGATTGAGCCGATGAACCTGCGACGCGTCAGTGACGTGAAAGGTGGGCGCATAGACGGAAGTCTTCCGATCGAATGTGGTCACCGAATCCGGGTACAGACATCAATAAGCTACGCACGCACTTGCCCGACCATTGCATATTGGCTGTCATCGGTACCCGGACGCCTCGCCCAACTGTGTCCTAGAATATGATGCTAGCCACAGACAGCGGACAGAAGTGGGCATAGAGGGCATTTGATGGGCGGCGAACTCCGAACACACTTCAGATAGATAGCTTCTATGTCCGAACATCTGCACACAGACTGCCGTGTGTGTCCGGACAATCAGCTCATCAACGGTTGAAAGCCGAGTCCACCTGGTTGAGCCCCGCGCAACGATGCGTGGATATTTGGACGACGTCAGCTTCCAAGGACCGCCGCTCATTCGAGGGTGCCCGTTGCCAGGGTCGCACCTGCCAGGCCTATCCGAGAAGCCTGTCGCGTTCGGGACTACCCTGTGTCGAGTTCGACGAACGTGAGGTTCACCGGTGCGGGGTCCAACCACGAGGACATAGTTGTCGATCCACAGCATACAGGAGACAAACAACAGATGCCCATGCAAACAATGGATTGGACAGCAATATTGGACATTGGGACAAGCCAACCGCAGTGGCCGTTGACCAATCCACAGCAGTCCCGCTTCAATTTGAGGAGAACTCAGAACATGGATATTGCAGTGAGCAGCGTAGACCAAGGGTAGACTGAGGGAGCTCAAGGAGCATGAACTTCGTTGGAGGATCCAGGAGGAGGCCGGAAAGGGAGGTCGGACGCAAGTTGAAGTCGGACGGCGCGTCCTAGGCTGTCGTCACGGAGCGTCACAAACGCGAAACATAACGCAGGTCACAGTGCCGCGCTTTTGCGAGCATTGTGACCGTCACCATCCCGGCCTTCGCGGCTGTCACGGTACAGCACTACTGACGGTGTACATTGTTACTGTACAGCGACGCTCTATATACCATTCTTTTGCTCAACGAGCCGTCTCAACGCCATAATCTTTGTGAAGACTGGGAGTCATTTGCTACGCGCCTCAGTACATACATAACACCCCGGAGCTTGCGACACGAACCCCAGGGCCTCCTAACACCTTTGCAGGCCCGCATTCAGGTTCCTGATATCACACTTTTCTGGAATTTAGCGTCGGACTCTACATACCCCTCCAAGCATAGATCGCATCGTCAAGAACAAAAGATCTGAGGCACATTCGACGGTCAACTTGAAGGCCGACAGGCAGAACAGGTTCTCGGTAGTCGGTACGGTACTCAAGACGTGACAATGATTCAGTGGTGAGTCGGTGTTTCTCCTCCAGGCAGCATGGCGTACTAAAATATACTGTGTAGCTCTGCACAGTTCGGGGCGAAACACTTCAACCGGAGACCGCTCGTAAGCACCTCCTGATGTATCGCAGCGGCGTGATGACAAGAACTGAATGGTTTGGCCGCGTCTCTCGACTCAACACATGAAGGCGCAATAAACGAAGCGACTTGGTTCTTTTGGCCCACGCATCGCATGTCCTGACGTTGCGCTTTGAGTCGCAGATTGGCCTTGGAGTTGAACTGATCAGTCATGAACGTCTAGGGAAGAATTTGGCATACTTGCGAGCTGAAGACGTGGTATTCACTATACCGGTCAGGCACAGAATGGCAGGACCTTCGACGACTCGATCGCCGCAGAAGTAAATCGCTGTTACACGTGTGGAGGGCGACCGAAATATAGCAGAACCTTGGTACAGCCCTCAGCTCATCCTTTGTATCCCGCAACTTGAATACATGTCCAAAGGTATACTCCACCATAGGGAGTGGAAACTTTGGTGAGTTGTAATGGTACTCGGGTTGCGTTGGCTAGGACTCGCAAATCACTCATGAAGTATGGGCACTAGTAGGGCGGGGTCACGGCCTTGCCCGAGCGCGAGAAGTGTACGAGATACCCTGTCTCCCGCCTTATGACGTTAGTGCATGTTCATCAACAGATAGGCATACGAGGGACGACGCCAATGCTCCGGCAAATTACATGCGGTAACGGGTGATCGTCGGCCAGTTGGCACTGCTCGAGACGTGTATGGTAGCCAGGATGTCCCGTTACGAATGCAAACAGTCGCGAAACGTGAGTCTCCGCTTGCGTGCAATTGCCGAATAACCACTCATGACCTGTCTCCACAGGTCTTCCACTACGACAGCTTGAAGACCTGTGAGATCCTTAGAGGATCGAGACGCAGGCACGTCCAGAAACCCGACTCTGTCCGGCCACAAGACGTTTGAGACAAGGTAAGTACACACGCACCTATCTTGTCTGCAGGTATGGTAACTAGCGGATTGACGCACTGCTTTGCTCACTGTGCAGAACGCGACACAGGACAGAGGGGAGCCACAGCGGGAAGGAAGGCGAAGCAGGGGCCCCCTGCGTGATGTAACACGGTCACGCGACTCGTGGCCCGTGGCCGCGCTGGGCTTTGCGCGTTGAATTCGGGTCCAGCCGCTTCTCTGGTGGCCCGCCCTTAAACAAACCACGCGCGCCTGCGACCCCCCTCACTTCCGACCACCACCTCCCTTTCATCTTCCGGCCCCACGCCTGCCCACAAAAGACCTCCCTACTCCCTAAGCCACGATGAACAACAATGCGCGTTACAACGAGTAAGTCTTTGTGACGCTTTGACCGGGTGCCACACCTGACACAGCGGCCACAGCCCCCTTGTCCAAGATTGGACGGTACCCCCCAGGCGACAAGGGCCCATGCCTCCGTCTACCAATCGGTCCTTTATGCCGTCCACATCCACATCCACGGCAGACCTCGCTGTGGCTGGCGACGCTCTCGATCTACGGTAAGCCATAAGACGGTTCATTGAAAGGGTCAACCTAACTCTAGCCTGCTTCGTAGTACGGCCCACCATCTCAGTCCTGCGGCCGCAGCGCCTACATTTCATTTTGGATCCCGTCCGTGAGTGTTGTCGACGCTTTGACCGTATGGACCAATCCTCACTGGGACACCATATAGCCTACCACACAGGTCGATTCAGGCGCCGGCTCCTAATCCTTTCTCATTGCCAATCCTTCCAGCACTCCCTGCCCGCCTCGCTCCAGCCACTGGCAGCCCTTCAATGGGCACTCCGGCGACGGCCACATTGACGCGGCGTCCGGTCCCAAGGCGGCGTGTCAATCCCTTGCCTGCGCGTTCCTCCAAAGCCGAACTTGGACGGACTACTAGTATGCACCAGCCCATTGAACAGGCAGGTCCGGTAGCCGAAGGGTCAACCCAAGCCGGCGGCAGTGCTTCCGCTACACTAGCGACCACCGATGCAAACAACGGTCGCCGTCAAGCGGAGTCGGGAGGTAACAAGCGGAGGCCCGAGTCTAGCCGTCAACGGGGGTCCCAAAATAAAAAGCAGAAGGCAGACGCAGCCACAAAGCCCCCCAATCAGTGGACATTCATGAGTGTCCAGTTCTCCGAAGACGGCCAGCCGACGGACGTAGCAATCCCGCAAGGTCAACCAGAGGAGCCCAGACAGTTGCCCTCCCCGGTCGTCAAAGCACCTCGAGCCATACGACCGAAGCCCGCGGTCGCGCTGCCCTCAGGTTCTCCGAGTCTGAAGACCCAAACACCTTCTCCGAACGTGACCGTCGATGGGGCATCCTCCCAGGTCGCGCTTCAGCATGCTCCGCGCAAAGCCGAGCACTCGAGCCTGCCGGTGCAGCCTGAGAATGCTGTCAACTGCGCTCCTCGGGACACCAGCGTCCCCGTGCCGTCCCACCGCATCCTCTCAGGCTCTAACATTCTCCTTCATGATGTTCATGAGGCTGAGGATACGATTTTCGGGGAGGGTACTACAATCACCGGGTCCTCAACCTCTAACTCACCGACACTCTGTGAGTTCGACCCGGTAACCCCTTCCAGTACCGCAGGGAACGAAGGGGACGCAGATCCCGCTGGCGCTTCCCTCTCCGAGAAGACGACCTTGTTCGCAAAGCCTGTGGACGACGCTCCGCGGGACGGCACCGTGTCGGCTGACGTTATACCGGTGTCCTACGACTTGGACGAGGCCCTAGTAGAGTCCTCGCAGGTTGGGGAGCTCGAACGACTAACCTGGCTGGCGGACGACTTCTTTAAGGCATTCAACGCCGCTGCCCCTTCCAGTACCGCAGGGAACGAAGGGGACGCAGATCCCGCTGGTGCTTCAACCCTCTCCGAGAAGATGACCGTGTTCGCGAAGCCTGTGGACGACGCTCCGCGGGACGGCGACAAGGTGTCGGTTGACCCTATACCAGCGGCCTACGGCTTCGACGAGGCCCTGGTAGAGTACTCGGAGATTGGGGAGCTCGAACGACAAACCTGGCTGGCGGACGACTTTTATAAGGCGTTCAACGCCGCTGATCCCTACCTCTGAATGCGGACAGAGGCCTCGTCGTCGTCACGGTGTGGCGAACCGCTGGTGGGTATGTATCTATCTCTAGGATCGTGTCCCCGGCGCTCTCCATGGCCGTCGCACCTGCTTTCGTGCACGCTCTGCATCGTTGTCACTGCTTTGTTTAACTGACTGTACAACCCATCCATATCTTGTACTGACTTGACTCACCCGCTTTGTAATTCGATACCTCGTATACTCGATACCTGATTTCGTTGTCTCTGCTACTACTTAGTGTCTTCTCCAGTGTTTCTGTTGCATCTTCTAGCTGTACCATTGCATGCTGTGTATCTCGGTTATACTCCTGCTCGTCTATCTGTATGCCGTGATAGGCTACCGCTGTAATCCATTCTCCGAAATCTGGAGGTCATCGTGTTGTATAAGAGCGCGGACAGTTACTGACTTGCCCAGTTGAGAGAGCATGTACGTTGTGGCCGCTCCGATTGTGCTCGGGCTGTACCTGTAGTATAACAGGAACACCAGTTTCACCTTCTCGAGAAAGTCGTAGCCGTATGCTACAGTTCCTCTCCGGTGCTTCCAGGTGCAACAAGCCTTCGCGGGAAGTTACAATATCCGCGACGTACAGTGTAGTGGCCGCCCCCCGATACATTCCACAGGACCTGCCAAATCCGGATGACCTGTGGTTGACCAGTGGCTAGCTCCACTGAATGGGTCTTAGACTGTCGTCACACAGAGTCACAGACGCGAAACATAACGCAAGTCACACCGTGACCGCACGCGCGGATAAGGTTCTTTCCATCTGATCTCTACGCAAAATCCAGATACACTTGAAGTCTTTCAACACGTCCCTGTCTGTTCAATCTATGAAACTAGATAGTGTTTGCTTCTAGTATCAGAAAGCAGGGGGAAAGGGAGGCCATTGTCCAAGCCACAGCTTCCGAGTCGGTTGACCACGATCATAGCCTGTCGTGAATCACCCCGACAAGTCACAAGGATTCGTAGAGTCAGACGATGTCGGCTGGCCGAGTGTTGCCAGCAAAGACCTCCTACAAAGGAGTACAAATGACGATGAAGGCTAGCGGGGTGGTTTGTCTCTGGGAGCGGCGCATTTGTGAGTACTACTTCCTCTAGTAACAAGATATTACGCATAACGTTGCCGCGCGCAGCGACGAGCGTGAGGTTCTGCGTTACGCCAAGAGATCACTCCATTTAGCTGAGGTTGCACAGGATGCAATCACAATGAGGGTGACGTACGTTATCCAGGTGCGCACGAGTAGCTGGGTGGAAGAACTCTCCTTCCAGGTATCCTCTGTGGCACCCTACGAAGAGATGAAGGGGGGACTCTCGCATCTGCTCGGAGCGGGACACCGCGGCCATGCATATTGACATCGAGATGTTCACGCCGACGGTCCCGAAGCGACTCAGCTAGATCACGGACGCCCTGGAGGCTACTCGCTAGTTCGGTGCTCTCTGCTCGTCGGCGTATTTCCATCTCGCGGATACACTCCCATATGCTGTTGAGGTCGCGTCTGGGCAGCCTTTCCGGAGTTTCCGAAGGTATGGTCTCCAGAAGAGACGCGATGGACGGCGTATCGCCGTGCGGTGTGGTGACACTGAGATACATTGATGGGCTGGGAGGGGTGTACGCAGTACCAGGAGATCCTTCGACTGCCATGGTGACCGCGGGCGGCGATGTGTCCACCGGGGGACCGATTCCCGCGGACGAAGACGGAGATGACTCAGAGGGAATGGTTGGTAGTGAAGCCTGACACAAAAAGTGAGCATGCCATATCGACAGATGCACAACATAGCCCAGCAGAGACGTACGGGGACATAGATGGGAGAAGCATGTGTAGACAAGAGGGATGGTTGTGTTGACGGTCTAGCAGACGGTGTGGGAGAGCGGGTTGGCACAGCGAAGGGACTGAGAGGCACAGATGATACCGTCGTCACTGTAGACAGCGTGCGCATGACTGTAACTGTCGGACTTTCTCTCTCCGTCGGCGTGAGACTGCGCGTTGAGATGTTGGTAGGGTAGGATATAGACGACGGAGTACGAATCGACGGAACAGCACCCTGCAAGGGTACTTCCGGGGTCAATGAGATTGACGGAGATGGTGAAGGAGAAGATACATCCGGTGTTGTCACGACTTTGCCTTCCATTGCGAGGATTGGCGGGCTGACACCTCCCGACAACTCTTCGGATAAGTCTGTTGGCCGTAGGACCGACGTCTCGAAGGTTGTGTCGACCCCCTCTGCGATCGGCAGCGACTGAGTGGATATGGACGCCCCAAGGATGGACGATTCGTAAGCCCCATCCGTCTCCAATCCCCATTGCAGTACAGCCTGGGGTTCCGAGATCGGTGGTCTGTACAGAGAGCCGGATAAGGAGGGTACAGATTTCGTGGGCACCCCAGTCGGTGTGAGGTCAGTTGATGTGACTGAGCTGACGGAAGACAGGGTAGATACCGGGGGAGTGAAGGATCCCGCCGGAGAAAGAGAGTCTTCGAACGTGGTCAGGGAGAAAAAGGATGTTGTGGATGCGTGCTGGAAGAGTTCTGTCGGTTCGAGTGCAATCCGAGATACAGATGGGCTTGTAGGGGACAGGGGCAAGAACACTGGGGAATGGAGGGGCGATGGAGGTCGTTCTGGAAAGGGGTCGTCGTCGTGAAGCTCGACAGGAAATGAAGTGGGCGTATTATCACCCTCTCCATGGCTTATCGAGTGCACACCTGCCACTGGCGAGATCGACATCGAGCCAGGTAAGGGAACGCCTTCCAGCGCGATCTCCTCCAGCGCACCTTGGGGAACGTGTGATGAGTCCGAATGGATGATGCTTGCAGTGTCCTTTTTGTCGTGCCTCGAGTCGGATTCCGTATATGTACCTTGGCCGAGACGCCTTCAGTCGTTCTGGAGCCTGCAGTACTAGAGCAAATACCCATAGTCTCATACGCAGAAGTAGGAGGTTCTGCCATGTGCGGTGCCATATAATCGCACTCCGTTGCATGTGATACCACGCTCCCGCGATCTGAGGACCTTCTAAGAAACGGAGAGAATGAGCGATAGGACACGTCTGAAGGTAACCGTGCAGTGACGTATTCAGAGTGGCTTGGCGTTGTTGTAGACCGGGCGATTTCGCTGCCCGACCTGGATGCAGACCGTGTGGAAGACGATATCGGAACGGCGGAGGTGGGCGTGTATGTAAAAGTGCTGGGATAGCTTTCCAGCGTACTCAACGTGTCCGCCTGCCATGTCAAACGTAGGGAGCTGAGGTGGCTGCTAAGAGTGTTGGTACAGCCCGCTGCACCAGACGATAGGGATGCGTTGGAGCTCCTCCTGCTCCCGGAAGGGATGTTTCGTAGCTGGGAGTGCGGTGAGCGAGCATTCTGTAGCCCGCGCCGAGATGATGACGAATGGGACTGCCTGAAGTGTTGTGAGTTTGTGGCGACGGCATTATCCAAAGACGTATCCGACATGAGGTGGCGCGAAGGTCTTTGACTGAGGCGCAGTGCCCTATCTAAGCTTCCTTTGGTCACAGAAGCACGTGGATAGCGGTGTGTGGTCGCACGCACCCTCAGTCAGCAAGGCAAGGAGTGGTGGCACCGGCGCCGCAATCATCATCTGAAGTCGCTGGAGTTAGTAGTGTCTCAGTGATGACAACGGAGGACTCACGGTGTAGACAGAGGTCTGAGCTAGGTTTCGCCATAAGTTATGACACGTCTGAGTATCACCAGTTTGACCGTTCAAATGCCAGTGCGTCGCGCTACATACACGAAGGTTCAGTCTCGAGCTCAACGGCCCCAGAGGACCATTGTGTGAAGTTCCCAGGCTTACCAACTGGTACCTACTAGTATACCCATCGCTTGGACTTGCAAGGCTGGCTGCAGGTGGGATATCGCCGAACTGAATGATGCGCAACCCAAACCCTCGACATTAGGCTCACCCACCATAGTATCGAAGTTTCATTCAATCGAAGAGCTCCATTGACTGTGCTGGTATGATTAGACTCTGGAGGCGACTCGGGAATAATGATACAGGTAGAATACATATCATGATGCAACACGAAAGCGACGACGTCGAGAGCGGAGATGAACAAGGTGCGGCTACCAATGTGTAAGAATTGTTTGCGAGCAGTCCTATCGTCAAGGGGCAGTGAGCGGATGCACGACTCATATCACGAAGAATTGGACATACCTTCAAACGATATAGGTTGTGGGCTATTGCTACATTGACGATGGTCCGCAGCTTTTGACGCACATCAGCCTTGTTGATAGTGAGCTGATAGCTGCCAGAGCACGGGCAATGTCGCGAGAGGTTGTCAGATCGTATGCGTCTGCACTTCGTACATCGGAGATCTTGCTGGGCGAATCGTCGTTCGAGGTCCCATATGGTGTCCATCATAGCGAATTCAACCATCGTGCGATCGTACTCGCCGCCGCAATTACCACAGAGCCACCGTGCCTTGAGCTCGAGATTATTCGGCAGAAGCGCCGGGTCTCTGCAGAAATCGAAGTCCCGCAGTGCGTCACAGTGTCGGCAAGGGACGTTCGACAGGATGAGGGGCTGGCAGGGGTTGTGGAAGGTAGCCTCGCTCGCGAATTCCCGGACGCCGACGAGCTCGAGGAGGTTGCGTTTCAGCAGGTCAATCTCGATCTGGTTCTCCTTCGCGAGCGCAAAAACTGCACAGGTAAATTTGACAAACTCAAGGATTGGGTTCGTCAGATTGAGGTGCGACCCAGGCAATACCGGGAACTCCCACTGTGCCAGAGCCTCCTCGTCCATCACTGCTTCCCGGTAGCGGTCTTGAATGCTGCCCACGGCCTTGAGGAGCTTGCGCGTCAGCTTGCGGGAGATGAAGTCACGGCTTGCTTCGACTTCTTGCGTTTTGACCACGTCGCGCTGGGTGGCATCCGGCGCGCCGTTGGGCAGAATCCGCAGTGGGCCCCTACTCGTTCCTCGCGTCTTCTGGCACGTTCGAAAGAGCTCTACCAGGAAGAAACGCACGACGTTCCGGAAGTCGCGCTGGATGGCTGGAGGCAAGAAGGTCTCGATGTTCCATAGCATCTCGATGCAGATCTCCTCGGGCGGATCGATCGCGAGCGGGTCCTCGCATACGACGCCGCCGAGGTTCGCTTGGTCTATGAACAACAAGAAATCGTAGAAGCGCTCCGTGCGCAGGTAGACGTGCTGGAACAGTTCGTGCGAGGTCACAGCGGTCGTGATGTACGTAGCGTAGGCATGTGCGGTCCCGGGTGGTTTAGATGTGACGAGTAGGATCCTGCTCAAGTCCGCGTAGACAACATGCGAGCCCAGACGCTTGAACTCCGCGAGCATCTGGATGAACGTCTTGCGCATGAGGCCGTGAATGAAGCGATGCAGACTCGGGTCATACATGCACGACGCCTTAGAGCTGATCCACCGCCAGAAGTGGTCGATCGCGATCGCCGACGGGCTACCAAAGTGGCCCTGAATCTTGTCCAGCAACCACGTCTTCACCATGTTCTTGAGGATCGAGAACATCTGCGGGGAGACGTTCGAGTCGCCGAGGGTCAGGTCGCGCTGCGTGTCTGCGCTGGAGTACTCGTCCAGCGTGCGCGAGGAGTCGAACGCCGTCGCCCCGCCCGCGCCCTCGAGCTCATTGACCATCATGGAGTGCAGCACAGAGTTGACGGCCAGGTTACGCACGGTAATCTCCAGGCAGACGTTGGAATAGCAGCCGGAGGACATGAACTCTGTCTTTGGCAGCTCCTCTTCGGGCCGATCGTCCTCTTCGCTTCCTCCGAGGTCCGGACGATTCCCGGGCGACCACCACAAAACGAAGTCGTGTTCCGTCAGCCTGCGAGCGAAGTCAACGTCGGCAAGGCGTAGGGGCTGGTCGCCATCGATGTACCCGATGGGAATGTCGTAGTAGTCAGCGAGTGCGATTGTGCGGTCCAACCAGGTGCCCAAGGACAGGTAACGAAAGGCTATCTTCTGTGCGACGTTCTTCTGCCATGGGAGCGCGTCCAACGTATGCGTGGTCTTCGTCTTTGGCATGGACAAGACAGGGAACTTCGCCAGTTTCGGGACGTACGCGTCGAAGTACGTTTGCTCTTTGCTGGAGGAGATGACGACTGTATAAGGATCCTTCTCCATTGTACCCAGCTCGATAGAGATTGCCTTTAGCGCCGCTACGTCTGTCCTATGGTAGGCGCTTATGAAGTCACAGGAAGCTGGGTAGGAGTAGGCCACGCTGGCGCCGTTCGTTTGCTGCCGTTTGGCGTATGCATCGCTGTAGGCCTCAGTGAGCCGCGGGATCGGCTGCCGTCGGGTGGCAGGATCGACGATGTGCAATCGAACTTGTTTGCCAGGCACAAACAGGACGAAGACGTGTATTGGCGCGTTATTGGAGCAGATGTGGTACAGGAAGATGTACTTCCCATCCCGTCCCTCGTTGAGATACTTGTGCTTAGTCGAGGTTGTGATCACCCGGTCAAGCTCGCCCAGGTCGAAGCCGATCGTTTCCGCCTTGTTGAGAGTCATCCCAGGAACGTTCGACTTGCATGTCTTGCCTAGCAGGAGCAAGGCTCGCATGTCGAGAGGTAACTTGAGGCAGCCATTGAGTAAAACACAAGAGACGAGTGTACGTTCAAGGTTAAGGACGCACCTGCATCTCAAACACACCATCCACGTTCGGATCATTCGTCAAGTCGATGAAATGCTCCTGACCATCGATGTATGTCTCCTCGCGCACAGAGAGCTTGTACAAGTTGATGCATGGCCTATCTCGGGGCAATCCGCGGATGACCTTCTCACTTGTATACATGTCCCTATTGAACTGCCCCGCCTTCGCTGGAGTGCGGAGGTGGATGTAGAACTCCCGCGGAATGCGCAGGGGAATGGAGATCAGATCGCTCCCAGATGATAGCCACATAGCGAACCGGCCGGGAATCCTCGTTGGCCGGATCTGAACGATATCCCACGGAGAGTTCGTTGGCGTCTTAGGCTGGACACCCTTGAACATCTTTGGCACGGTCGTGGTGGCCTCCCCTCTTGCCCGACGCCTCCAGACAGCACCCAAGCTTGTGATGAAGCCGCGGTAGTCCACCGACGGATCAGGGAGATCCAGCGCCTCCTCGGTTGGCTCCGGGGTATCCTCCCGTGGTGGAGGCTTCCGAGTGACGACAGCCAAACGCAATCTGCCGTTGTCAGATACCTGGGTGCCTGTGTCCTCGATGTCATTAGACGGTATCCCGTCGTCCGCCTTCGCCTTGAAAAATTCGGTAACTTTGTGCTGCCGGAACTTGTCATCCTTCGCGACCACTCGTCGGTGCAGCCAGTCGGGGTGCTTGATACGAGGGACCGGATTGACGACCTTTTGCATAGCCGCGGGGATGGTAATGAGCTTCTGGATGACAGACCCCAGACGTTCGATGTAGTAGTTCCAGTCCAGAATTGACCTGATGTCGAAGTTAGTGAGGCTGTTATCTTTCAACCACTTGCGGAGATAGGTCTGCTTCACACTATCTTCTGCCGAGAAGATCGCGATTGGAACAGCCCTATCAGTGACCGGTGCACCTTGGGGACGTGCGGAGATGATGAACTTGCAGGCCAAACCCTTGTCCTTCACCATCTGGTCGCCCAAGAACTCGGCGAGACGCCTCGCAGTACTGATGGACGTCGATTTCTGACCCGCATACTCCGCCAACGTTTTCGACATGCTCCTGTTCTCGGCAATGAGCTCGACCAGCTCTTCGTCGGGAAGGTTCTCTGCCTTGCTGAACAGAACGTCTAGCCAGCGATCCGCGATTTGGGCGACAGCGGCATAGCACTCTTCGGTAGTCTCGCCGAGCAGAAATCGCTCGAAGATCTGCGACTGGAAGATCTTGATGAGCTGCAACTCGCCACGACGCTTCATTTCGAACCCCTTGAGTTCCGCGAGAGAGCCGTCGTCATTGAAGACGGCGTAACGCTTCTTGAGCAACTTGTCCTCCTCCTTCGAAGACGGCAGGATCATCGCTCTGTAGGGACCGTCGAGCTCGAAGAAGATGGAGTTCTCGCTGTGGACCTTGTACTCGCCGGTCTCGAGATCGAGGTCGTGGTACTGATGGTTCGTGAACTGTGCATGGACGAGGTGGTTGAGCATTGTACAAGGGTAAGAGATGCCAAGCGTTTTGCCATTCGCCAGTTGGAACTGAAAGTTCTCCGGGAAGACACCAGGAAGCATGCACCAGATGCCGTCAGTGTCCAACTCGAGAGGACGGCCAATCTGCTCGACGAGTTGCCTGGCCATCTGGATGATCGTCGCGCCCGTCAGGCAAGTGATACCTGCCATCTCCATTGAGTGCCACCGAGCACCCTTGCGCATGACGTATCCGTAGAACGAATTGAGGATACACTTGTGGGCGAGCTGAAGAGAGTCGTAAAGAACGATCATCTTCTTGGCCTCGTCGACCTCGGCGATCGAGCGCTGTTCCGCTATGACAGTGTCATGGTTCTTCTTCCATGTCTTATGGAGGCCTTTGTACTCGTATCGCCGATCACGGAAGCGACGCACAGTGTCGATGTAGAAGGGATTCTCGCGCTGGCAGATAATCGCCTCCCGGTTCTCGATCCTAGTGTCCTTGATCTTCTTGTACACCTTGCGCGAATAATCGCCAAGACGTTTGTGCAGCAGAGCCGTCTGTTCCGCCGGAGTGAGGTCGACGAACTTCCGCTGAGGGCCCCCCGGCTTCTTCGGAGGGAACGTCTCCTGGTTCAACGCGTGTTTGATCATGTTGAACTCGTCCCGGCGCGCAGGGAAGAACTCGCCACGCCAGGCCCATGTCATCCGCCGATCGCACGACTTCCCGGGCCGGTTGAAGTCGCAGACAGCACATACGGCCTCGTCCACAACCGAGTCAGGTTGTAGACGATTAGACAACATGATATTCGGGTACATGGCCGCGACGTCCAGATGGTAGATCAGCGGCTTGTCTATGCGCATGGGATTGTCACGCATCTCTTCCAGCGCGGCCTGGATCTGGCCCTTGACCTCGTCGTAGTTGGTCACGTCTTCGAGGGACGCTTTTGATTCGTCGACGATACAGAACTTGAGGGCGGCATCAAGCTCGTCGATGAGCTAATATGAAGTGATCAATGTCGGTCACAGCACATCACGATATTCAAATATCGTACCTTCTGGGCTGCGGTTGGCTCGATTTTGAATTCCGTCGGAATATCACTACGGAAGACACCGGCTTCAAGGGCCTCTACGTGCCCTCCGACGTAGGTCTCTGAAGCGAGTAGATGACCGTCGTACATGTTCCCGTGCTCTTCTTCGTGTCTGTTTGGCATGATGATCTGGCCACGGAATGCCTCAACCTTAGGAAGACGTCAGCAAGAAGTCACCGCCAGATATAAATACTCATACCATCAGCAACGTCTCGCAGAGTGTCCCACTTCCCTTCCTCAGTACCTCGTCCGGACACAATGGAATAATGTTGCAAAGGGAGAAGATGAAGGGGTGGACGTATTTCATGTAGAGGTAATACGTCGCAACGGCGTCGGAGACTGAGTACTGAGCGAGTGTTTGCGGCTGCTCCATTGCATACCTGCGGCAAGGGATCAGCCACCACGGCTATCAGAAGAGAGGCATAGATACTCACGGAGTCATTAATTCCGGGTCGAGCTCAATGGGGTTGTACCCTAACTTCGCCGTCGTGACAGCTTTCAGGCCCTGACTACCCTGGGGCAAGTACGAATCACGTTTCACCCAGCGGAAGCAATCCATGTGGACGCAGCAACGACTCTTGAACTCATCCTCCGAATCCTTTGCAAAGCCGGTCTCAAGGAACATGTCGATGCCATGCACCTTCGCACGCGCATAAAGGAACGGAAAATCGAAGAAGTCTCCGTTGAACGTCGCCATCACCGTCGGCTTCACGTCTTGCACATGCGAGAAGAACCTCTGGATGGTTGCAGCCTGCAATGTTCGTCAAGTCGAAGTAGCGTACTGAGCGCATGAAAGGACTGTACCTCGTCTGCCTCGTTGAATATCGTGAACGGCCCTTCATACCCCTCCTTCGGCGTATACTCGAAGTCCTCGATGTCTTCGCTCACGATCTCGCGATTCGTGATGAGAAAGCCCTGGCCATCGATCATGTACGAGATCATCATGACCTGGTCGATTTGTTGGTCAGGGAACTTGAGCGGCGCCTTCGTCGTCTCGATATCGAACGCCATGACGACGGGGTCCGCACGCTTGACACGCTCCACAAGCTGCGTGAAGGCCGGCTGCCCCGCCGTGAACGTCACCGCGTACCACAGACCAACGCGCATCTCGTTGTCCATCGCCACACGCAAGTAGTACGGCACGTCGAACTCGCGAATGTCGATAATACCCTCCCGCGGGTCCTTGTCACGCCCTGTACGGCCACCCCGAGACGGGCCTGCGTCGGCGTCCCACTCCCCCTCAATCTCGATCGAGGTCGTCGCGTTCGCCGTGGAGTTCACCACCTCCGCGTAAGCGTCGACGGCATCGAGTTTCGCGCTGTTGGCCAGCGCGAGCGGCATCAGGTCTCGCCTTACAGCGAGAAGGTCGGAGACGTTCCGGAAATGGAGCTGAAGGTACAGGCGGCGGTGACCCATGAGATGGTTCGGCAGGCTCAAGTCCTCTTTCCGCTCGCGAGTGATGCGATATACGAAGGCCTCGTACTTCTTCATCAACCACTCTTCAATGACCGTCTCCATGCCGCTCTGCAGAGATATGTCAGATTGGGAACAATGAGAGCTATGCGACATACCTTGCAAGCAATATAAAAGTATGGTTCGTATTGAAGGGTGCACTTGAACATTCCTCCGTCGTCTTGAATGAAGTAGAAGTCTACGGCCGCCTTTCCCGACGGCCAGTCTGCATCCTTGACAAGTGTCTATACGAGCTGTCAGTTAATTCCAAGACAGGGATAACAAGACAGGACATGGGCTGAATTGCATCATCACCCTGACGCTTGCACTACCCCCACGGTCGTACTCAGAGAAGCTGTAAGGGGAGCGGAAGCAAGGAAGGGGTATGTCGTTCAATTGTCTACGTAGGGCTTCGCCCTGAGTGACAGTGAAGGGATCCAGCCAGCAAAGAAAAGAGTAGGGCGGCGTGGAACATCGATGCAAGACTTCACTCGGACTACTTACGGGGTGCATGTTGATCAACCATCCTTCTCTCCTTGAACCCTCCAAAACCCGCGCGAACCCGAGCTTCTCGTCAACCTCGTCGTTCAACTCCACTTGTTCAAACCGTTCCGCGAGCTGAGTACCATCTTCTTCGCGCTGGGGCTGGGCGTCCGCTGGTGCGCCTCCTCGGCCCCTTCCTCTTCCTCGACCACGTCCGCCTCGATAGTGTGAGCTGCCACGGGTGCCAAAGCGTGAACCTCTCCCTCGTCCACGCGCGCCGCCAAAGGAACCGCGAGCCATGACAGTTGAAAAGAAAGTCAAGTGGGATAGTGGAAGCAAGACAGACGACGCGCCGCGCGGCTACCGACGCGTTCTGCTGTCACAGACGCGAAACATAACGTAGGTCACGCTGTGTGACCTTGACAGTTACATATCATGTGATGAGGCCGTCTTGACGGAGGGAGGACGAGTCGACTTCAACTCGTTTTGCTCCGTTCCTCCCTCTCTGACTCCAACTACCGTGTTGCATCCGTTTCCACCAGTAGTTTTCTGCGAGAAGCTGTCATGTTTGGCAGAGTGCGTAGAAACGGTGTCAAAACATTCTATTTAATAACCCAAGCTTCATCAAATGCGCGAGTATGGCGAGGCTCCTTATCCAGAACTACGAGCTCTGTATGGAAGCAAGTGAATTCGTCGCTTGCAAAACCTACAGGTCGAAATCTGCAAGATGTAGTGTAATTGCTGCTACAAAAGTGCTCCCAACGGCGCCAGGATATCAGACAGAGTGAGTGGTGACCTCCTGCCGGAGTACGGCCAGCAGTCTACAGTTGTCACGCTTGTTTGTCCTCTCCTCCAGTCCGCATGAATCCCCAAGCATCGACCTTCTGAAGGTGACGTTTTTCGGGATGCACTGTTAGACAGACGCGCGTTCTACAACACCTGCTAAATCGGGATGTACACTGTGCAAGGAGGAGCGCTCTGAATCGGACCAGCCACGGCCAAGCCACGTCCACACCGACTGTCGGTGTCCGCACCTTTAGCTCTGTGCTAGGTAACTAGAAATGCTCGTCCGCGATTTCCTGCAAGCTAGAACCACGCAAGATTGTCACGCGTTCGGTGTCTGTCTCGAGACACTCGGCCATCTTCACTACTTACGTGGCAGATGTGGGCATAGGCCCGTCAGTGAAATTCAAAGACGTCTATGTACGACGTACGTACAGTCGGCGGGTAAGTGTCCTCCGTCACCAACTCAGACTGAAATGCCGGAAATGACACAACGATTCCCAGTACTATGTGGATTGAATGCACCTCAGCATCCATGTCCTCATGCCACCCATACTATGGATGCCCAGACACGACTGAGGACAAGTCCGAGGTCGTCGGTGTTCTGCAAACCGATGCTCAATACAATTTATCATTATCAGGCGCGCCGTCCGCACACGCGTCGACCTCGAGGTGCGATTACGGCGATAGAGATGCTGGAGAAGGCTAGGGACGACGTGATGAGCATTCACTTTCAATTCCCGTGATGCCATAATATGTTCTGAAACTCCGTCGTAGACCCTTCGCGCCAACAATCGTCTACCCAGGTCCTCTATCTCACATCCAGCGAATTTCGTTTTGCTATGCCCCTTCGAGAAGAGCGTGGACAGGCGGAGCGCGTCGGACTCGATATCACATCCGCGTTTTCATCAAACTTCGACCGGAATTGGTAGCATCGAGAGCGAGCCAGACCGACGTTTGCGGCTGATGTCGACTGGCAGAGCATGTGGGGCACCCAAATACAATGCCGGGCAAAGGTCTGACGCCCTTCGCGCCCTCTGGCTGTGGACATTCTTCTGGTGAGGGGTCGGTCTAGCAATATAGAATTAGCTGTCGTTGATACTGTGGTTGAACCAGATGTGGTACAGTACGTAGCTCAACGCGTTAGCGGGCAAATGGGTCTCTCGCTATCAAGGCTGCCGAGAGCACGTTATCGGACTCTAGAACCCTAGAGGATATCTGTGTGTGTTCCTACGGTTTAGAGTGAATACTCTATAACTCTGAATCCGCAGATTTCACGCATGATGGCTGGGGATAGTAGTGAAAACGCGTTCTCACTACCGGTTCAGCCACAGTATTGGATGGTGAGTCGTCTCTCAGGCTGCGTCAGGTTACTCTAAGGCTTATGGCGCATCCGAGCGAGAGTCATTGTCTCTGCGGTCCCCAGACTTCGGGCTATGGCGTCTCGCCCTCAATGAGCGGGTTTTCTGCGGCGTCCAGGATCCCGAGAATATTTTATACAGAGCCCGTGCCGCTCAAGAGACTCCGTCGTAGAAGCGCCGAGTGCACTTCAAGTTGTCAAGGACGGAGATGTGCCCTGAGCAATCACCGACGAGTATCAGTGGCGCATACTCCGGCCGGCTGGTTCGCCGGGTCAGGGCACTCGGTCAGTCGAGTCTTGGGAGTGAAGTGCTCATCCTTTATTCTCGTCAGTGTGCACTGCATTGCTGAGCCATGCGTGGGTGGCCGAGGAGGATGTGCGGCCGAACCAAAGCAGTAGGTAGTGCCGACTGGCCGGTGCGGGCGAGACGGGCTCGAGACGCCAGGGCAGTCAAAGTCTCCAGGGCTCTATTTGACTCGTGTTGCTTCTTCGACGCGGCATGTCATAGACGGATGCCATCGCGCGTCGGGCACGTCACTGCCTGACACTCGGCGGTTTCCGTGACGTGACGCCGTCGCGGTGCCCTGTCAACCGGGCTGCTGTTCGACGCTCTCTCCGTCCTCTCGCCAGCACCGTCTGTCCTCGCTCCACGACGCGCGTCCTCCCCCTGCAGCGTCGCTCTCCTCCCGCCGTCTCCCGCCCTGCTCGCTCACCACCGTCCTCCCGCGCGCACGACCTGCACCAGTCGACGCGCACGGCCTGGGCGACTCTGGAGACACCCCCAATGCCCCGTTTCGCATATCCGGCACGGAGATGCGGGCTCTCTTCTTCCGTAGCTATCGCGCGCATTCGAGCCTTCCCGGCGATTCACTCCCCCCGACGCATTCGCCGCAGTCGCCCAAGACAGCAGAGCCGACCAGCAGAGGTCCCTAGTGACGGCTCGCAAGCTGCTCGAACGCGGTTTGTGCATAGAGCGTACTGTGCCCTCAGCAACGATCGCTTCGCATCCCCGCGCATTGCTGGCTCACCACCGTGTACGTTCAACACCATTCTCCGTCACGCAACTCGCTCCATCAGCTCTCGGCAGCTGTCACGTCGACGAGCAGACACGGAGCACATCGAGACGCGCCACGCAAATGCGCTGCACACTGTCGCCGCGCCGTGGCCATGGTGCAAGCAGAGTAATCATCCTGCCGCGCCAGCGAGGGCTCGTTAGCATTCGGTGAGTTCCATGCTGTTTCATGGCTGTTGTTCCGTTCATCACAAGTCACCCAGACATGTCTTCGTTGCCAGAGATGTCTCCTGGGCATGCTACAACTCCGCCTAACTAACGAAGCAAGCATGCGCCGAATGTAGACACGCGGGAAGTGACGCCACATCCAGGTCAGGGCGGGGCAGTACAGGAAGCAAGCGAACATGACCGCACCATCCGTCAGCGGCACGCGCACGGCCCGCTGCACGGCCTGCGCGACACTCGTTCCCCTCGACTCTACAGACACCGCGCAATGCGTCTTACCGACGACCTCCACCTCTGCGGCCACCCGCTCGCGACTCCTCATCGCGCAGAGCACGGCACGTAAACGCAGTCTTTGCCTGTCCTTACAGCACCTCTCTTCGAGCAACCCACGCAAAACGTTGACGAGCCCTTCCGTTGACATCGCAGCCGCGTCCCCACCGGCGACGTCGAGCACCCTTCGCCCATCGCCCGATCAAGATGGGCATGATGCGCGTGTTGCAGCGGGTGGGACGCTGCGCCCACAATGCACCCGTCATCAGCAAGCTCGCAGAGGCCGAAAAAGCCCACGTACGTCGGTCTCTCGACACCCGCTCTGGTGACTCGCCGTCGCACTCTGTCAATACACGGTCTGGTAAGCAAACTATCGGTCGCGGGTGGAAGTGCAACTCACCGATGCCCCGCCGCCCTCCGCAGCCTCTGCCTTTATACCTCGCCAGCGGGACCCGGGGCATTCATCAGCAACCCAAGTCGCCGTCCACCATTCGGGCGACGAGCGAGATGATGTCCGTTGTGCGGAAGCGAATGTGGCGCGCGTTCGCAGCACTGCTGGTGCCACTGGCACGGACGCAACTAGAGGCGCGGGCACTGCGGGATGCACGGCTCTGCTTAGGTGCGTGCGTGCGCGCTGCTCGGGCGCAGCTCGTGGACGCTCGAGCGCGGTCTCTGTGCTGGCGGCTGCTTCGGTGTCGCAGTGGTGAGTCGCCAGTGCGAGCTCCCCCTCCTGGCTGTATACTCACGGTGCAGCGAGCAAGCGCAAGGTCAACGGCGGTGCACGTACGTGCAGTCTGTCCCGTCCCTTCCCTTCCCTTCCAACCGGGCTCTCCTCGCGACCGGTCAGCCAGACAGGCGAATGCGGCGTGTCGTGCCATGTACCGATGCGATTGGGAGGCATCGTATCAGCGGATGCGGACATCGTCTCACTTGCTGCGTGCTCACCAGCGGTCCATGCAATGGAGGAACATACTCGCCTCCGAGGACGCCGTGCACGCGAGAGCGAGAGGTATGCCTCCGCACCCGAGAATTCCCTGCTAACGCGCACCGGACATGCGCCGCGCCCTCGCCGTCCGTAGAGCTGTGCCCGCGTTCGAGTCCGCCTGTGGAGAGCAGCTGACGTTGCGACGGCGAGTGCTCTGTCTCGACGTCCGCGCGCTGTGTTTCGGCGGACGGGCAGCGCCGCGAGCCTTCAAACGGCGGTGGTGAAGGACCCCCCTATTGTCAGAACGGCACGTATGCGCTCGTGTCCGCACAATCCGTCTGAAGCGCAAATGTGCGGGCGGAGATTCAGACGTGACGGAGGGTTGGACGCGCAGCGCGTGTATTGCTGCTGCCTCTGCGCTACTTCCTGCGCGGCTGGTGGCTGCCTCGAGTGCCAGCCATGTAGTCACACGGAACATGTACATAGTGTCGCGGCGAATAAATCTATTGATCCCATGTACTATACTGAACATGATTGTCGAGAAACAAAGCACGCTGCCACAGCGCGACGTCTCCATCCGCGCGCAGAGACGGGCTGCGTGAAACGCACCGTCGCGCGACACCACCGTCATTCCCAAGTATCCTAGGCACCCCCGTCCAGACGGCTTGGTTTGCGGACGGCGCAGGCCCTCGGGGGATTTCATGTCAGCAATGAACTATGCATCGTGCCAGAGTACGCACCTGCACTAGTACTAACGTCTGGTGGTCCTATTGAGCAAGTTCCAGGAGACGAGTAGTCGCCTGGATGCATGTGCAAGCTGTGAGTCGTACCGTCGCCCGTCGGGTCGATGACAACGGAGCAGGCGAGAGCGACGTAGCCTTCGCCGAGAGGGAACCGTGACTGTAGTCGAACGGTTCGGGGCTTTGCAGAGATGACACTAGTAACGACTCACTGTCAATCTTCCCCGATAGGCTGCCTACGGATGACTGAAGTGGATGTGATACGCGCTACTGCGAACACAGCCCTTGCGGATCCGGGAGTCGCGGACTGACTACCCAAGCTCACCGTGGCTTGATTCCATAAGAGCGCCGTCGAAGGATGCACGGGCCGTATCGAAGAACCTCTGTTCACCATGAACAGGGCTTCGCACTGATTGCGGAGATTCTTGACGACATTGTATTCGACACGCCGAAGCCATTGAACCTTATGGCGACCATGATGAAGGGCGCGCAGCTTATAGAGGAGCGACGGACGAGGCTTACGAGCAAGTCTACGGACAGTAGAGGTGAGTGACTTGGTCTGCATAGAACAGTAGTACGTCTCCTGCTTCATTCTCTGTGTCTCTCTTCCTTCTGTTCCACTGATTATTGTTCTTTCATCCTCGTACATCGCCCACAACTCGTCACGATCCGCCGCGTCCCGCGCTGGGCTTCCTGCATCACGATGTACATCCGTAGCTTACTGTCGTGCATCAACCAGGGCCACTGTTCGTTTCCTCCGTAGTTGGTACATCATGAACATGAGAAACAGAGCAATCGAACATACCTGACTCTGCGACGGTGCTTGAACAATCGGAGGCCGCGCATGCCAATGTTCGTGTGCTACCTCGTAGAGGCTACGTGCAGCTCAGTGCATGTCATCGGATTGTGGCGATCCGGAGCGAGGATATGTATGTGCGCGGCACCACTTGCTATGCACGGCATGCGACATTCTCGTTAGCAAACAGAGAGATTGGTCTTTGTATCACTTACCACTCGTCGCTCTCGATACATTGGTTTCTCAGCAGACCTGACCCCGTCCGGCGAATGCCCCTTCACCCTCAATACACAATCGACTGCGGATCTACTCTCTCGACCAATAGTCCAGATAGATGAGCCTGCTGAACGGGAATGAAACGTAAGCATTTATAGCGGAAACAGCGGACACCTTGCGCTCGTTATGGTTCGAACACGGTAAACTGCCATGGAACGGCCAGGTCGTTCAATGAGCAGTACTCCCACGAATCGCGCGATTGTGAGTCGCGAATCGCAGTGTATCATCCACTGTGATCAGAGACGGTAGACCTTCCCGTGCTCCCCAGTGATGCAACACTCACCTATACATCGTGTTCGATGTGTGTGCAGACCATGGCGAGACATTCATTTCCGCTGCCTTCGCTCGGGATACTTGATTCATGTGATCCTAACTTTGTGCGTTGGCGACAGATGTATGTCAGTGCTCTCGTCTCATGTCTGGAATGTCACGCTGAAGAGCTCGCACTCAGACAGCTTGATGAGCTATTCTGCATGTCAGAAAGTGCGTCATCGCCCCAGACTCGACGATTACACGCCACATCTTCGTTATAAGCCCACGATTCAGCTCAGAGGGATGAGGCCCTGGCTGATCATTCGAAGGATGCTCAGCTATGTGGACGTGCATGAGCCGGGCGAGTGAAAGTCGAAATGCGCCGCCGAGGCGCACAGGAACGTCGCGTCGTAGCCGCCGGACACATCCTCACGAATCCATACTGCCCATTTGCAACATGTCTCGGAACACTTGCACCCTCGGAGCAAACATAGCCCCTCACTATGCCAGTGTGATGTTGAGTACTCGTCATGCGAGCCCGACAGGGCAGCAACCATCAGCTGCTCGCCGATCGCTGACTCGGTGTGTTCCGCCGTTATATGCAATACATTACACGGTCTCGCGTTCCGGATGCTTGGGCTGTAGAATCACCAAGTGACAGGAGGCTGGCGGCGCAGACACCATCGCCCAAGCGAATGCCCTGGCTTGGGGCCGCAACCTCGGAACCTGTCGACAGGCAGGCAATCGCCAGCCTCCCGTCAAAGTCCAGGTCCGTCGGCCGTCGTACGATCTCGTTGAGGCTGACAGGACGGCCATGGCAGCTCTGTGTCCCCTGCTATTGCAGCTGCGAAACGCGAAGAGGTGTGCGCGCTGATTATTTCGGAATGCCCAATACGAGCTGGCTGATGCAGAAGAGCACGTCATAGATGGCAGTATATCTCGAGATCCGCGCGTTTGCGACGTCCACTAACCAGTCATCACGGAGTGCGCGTCCATACACGACAGGCTCGCCGTTAATCGCACGCGGCCCTTCGATGTGGAAATGATAACAATTCACACACCGAATGCAGGATGATTCCGAGACAAAAGTCAAGGAGACAGCCACCTTGCTCTTTTCGCTCGCTCGCAAATCTTGAAACATCTGGGACGAGGCATGAAGCGAGCCTGGCACCGGCAAGATGAGACCTTTGACTCGGGCGTGACACTCTGCCTGACACGACTGTCAGAATGCAATACACAGGTACGTGGCAGCATCCAGCAAGCGCCAGCGGCACAAATCATAGTGTCGACGTCGACGACGCGGCAGATGGTGGTAGGCCTGTCGGCCGCACACTGGAACACATATTACGAGCCACTACCAGACGTCCGGCGCAATCGACGTGCGTACTACGTGTGTGCACGCAAACGAACTGAGCATGCAGCACATACTTCGCGCTGCAGGCCAGCCGAACAGTCCTGTTTGGGCCCCTGTAGTACCGTGCAGCGGAAGAAAACGGAATTTGCAGCTGGAGAGCCCAAAATTCCGGATCAAACGTATCAATGCGATACTCAGCTTCCCGTACGTAGCGTACTTCAATGACATATGCATAAGATGCGGGACACGTATGGGAAGAGTATGGATCATAGATGTGGCCACTCACCGTGCTACGGTTCCTGGTCAACGACTTCCTCTATGCGCATACTGCCGGACCATCCGATTGCAGCTTTGTCGACAGAATCTTCGAGCTGACAGACGATGAGCCGAGCGCGTGGAACTAGACCCGTACTGGGAATCGTTAGGCCCGGAGCCTGAGTTGGGAGTCACACTAGCAACTTGAGCTACGACATGCTTGAGGGTGCGCAGAGCGCAGAGCGCATTTTCACGCCTTGGCAGGCACGGGTGTTTTGGGAGCAAGCATTGCGTGCGGGGCGTGGGCGAAAGTTGAGTCGTGGCGAGTTAGCGCATCCGCCAGGTTTTGGCGGCGGCGAGTGGTCGACTAAAGCCGGGGCCGTTAGAAGGACGATTACGATTACTAGAGAATGAACACAAGAACTTACATTGACAGAGAAACCTGAGTTCTCTGAGGGCGCATACACAGGGTCAGAGTGAAGCAATGACGATCGAGAAGAGTGAAAGGAACGAGAGAGCAGCCATGGCGACTTGATGACGGCTGAGATCAAACCTGCGCAGCGCGTCGGCTCCTCCGACTCGGACTCGCGACTAGCTGTGGCGGCTGAGTCACGGTGACCGTAGCATGGACTTGGTAGTGTCCGCCTCCGCCTCCAGCTCTCCGTCCTTGCCCGCCGACACACGACCATGCGCGTTTGCATGCGGACTGGCTTCTTGAGCGGGTCTGCCAGTCCGACGATGTCTATGTCACAGTATCTCTGGCATGCACGACCATCGACTTTACGCACACAGAGGATGGACATCACTCGAGACCGTCAACTCATACACTCCGTGGTGGTGGCTGCACAGCGGAGGAGGTCTAACTGAAGTAGTCTGGTAACAGCTCCGAGTCGTCATTTTCGCTCATTGCCACAGCACGCAGACTCAGATACAGCGACGCCCTCCCAACATTAGTCGGATCCGCACAAGCACACAGTCCTCTCTCGACACAGAGATAGCAGAACAAAGCTCATTGGGCTCATCTTGATGCTGCGGTAATGTACCATACGTCCCCACCGGTGCTCTGGACATCCGACCTACGTGCTGATGTCCGACTTGCGCTTGTTACAGTCTACCTCTATAGTGCCGGCTGCGTCTGGTTTCCGTTGCAATGGAGTAACGTTCAACATAGTGTATGTGCATCCCCTTATACTTTCCGGCTCTCAGTGGATGTGAGGCTCCTCCACCTACCCCGGCACCTAGGTAGCCACAAGGCTGGCGATGTGCACCGTACGCCCAAGCGGACTCGCGTCATCTTGCTTCAATGATCCAGTGGACAAATGGAGCTGTCCACCGGGTTTTGTTGTCGATGATGAGGTCACAAATGCGAAGTACACGGACTATTAATGTGACCGCTGCTGCAGCCTGCCAAGGTATGTCGATATCTGTTCTACTGATTGCTATGTACCTGCCTGCACAACAACGCGGTGAGTGTCTCCGCCCCCGACTTGACCGCGGCCTCTTTTCGTCCTCCCGCAGTTAACGACCGCCGACGACGCAGCT